GTTTAAGAGATACTAAAAACAAACCACCAAACCTCCTTTCATTTGTGTATCCGTGGAGAGAGGGCCTTAGAGCCCTGAAACTGGAGTTCTGGGTGCTTCACCACCCAGTATTAAGTGCTGGGAGCTGAACTCAGGGTCTTAACTGCTGAGCCATCTGTGTCTCCAGCATTCCCCCAACTTTACCTCATGTTGCTTTATCGCCCCACAGAGGGCATGTGGCTGACAGTTACTTACCTTTTCCTAGGCCCCAGGGAACTGTGGGACTCCCCAGAGCCAGCCTCTGCACCCAGGACACCTCAGAGCCCCATTCCCCGAATCCTGCTGCGGACCCAGCGGAGTCTTGAGCCAGAGCCCAAGGAGCCAGTGTCACCACCAAGCCCTAAGGCTGAACCTATCCAGGAGCTTCCTACCCGTGTACCCAAGCTCTGCATTGGGGACTTGGACTTCTCAGATCTAGGGGAGGATGAAGACCAGGACACATTGAGTGTGGAATCTGTGGAGGCTGCAAAAGCATCTCTGTTCCTGTCACCTCCATTGTCCTCACTCTCTGGGGGTCCCCCTCCTCCGCCCCCACCTCCCCCACCCGTTAGCGGCTCCTGCCCACCCCCTCCCCCACCCCCTCCCCTACCTGTCACAGGCTCCTGCCCACCCCCACCCCCTCCCCCACCTGTCACAGGCTCCTGCCCACCCCCTCCACCCCTAGCTGCCCCTTTTTCCCACTCAGCACTTGATGGCCCAAGGCAACCCACCAAAAGGAAGACAGTAAAACTTTTCTGGCGGGAACTAAAGCTGACTAGTGGCCCTGGGTGCTCTAGAAGCCGCTTTGGGCCTTGTCCTACCCTGTGGGCCTCTCTGGAACCTGTCTCGGTGGACACAGCCCGGCTGGAACACCTATTTGAGTCCCGAGCCAAAGATGTGCTACCCACCAAGGTAAATGGGCAGGAATTGGGCCTTCAGGGGGCTGAGTTATTAGAGCTAATTCCTCATTCCCCTCATGGGGAAATGGCAAGGAAAGAAAACTCATTTAAGGCTATGAATGAACAGAGCCCTCATTAGAGATATTAGTCCATTCTCAGGCCTTACATCTCTTGTTTCCAGTCACAGGTTCATTAGGCCATTCAGAGAACTTTAGAGTACCCTCTTCCCTGCCCCCATCCCCCAAGACAAGGTTTGTGTGGCCTTGGTTGTCTAGAACTTGCTCTTTAGACCAGGCTGGCCTCAGACTCACTGATATCCTCCTGAGTACTGGGATTAAAGGTGTGTGCTGCCATGCAGGCTTAAAGTGCTACTCCAGGTAGTTCCTCCCTCCTTCCACCTTTCTTTTTTTTTTAAATAATTTATTTATTTTTTTCAAATCATAATTCATTCACACAGGGGTTATAAACACAGAAAGGCAGGATGTGGGGAAGGGGATGACACTGGAGTGTGGGTGTTCAGGGGGAATACAGATATCTTTCAGAACAGGGTATCGGCTGGGTGAAGGTTCAGGGGACAGGTCACTATGACTCTGCGTATGATTCACTTGTCCTTATCTAAGTTGGTATTGTCTGCCAAGGCTACCTATTTACAAGGTCTATGACTACTCAGGCTGGTAAATTTCCACGAAAGCTGCCTGTTTACAATAGCTTATAGCCATCTGTTTCAATGTTTTTCCACAGAGACCCAAGACTTGGTGTTAGTATACATGTATGACAGGCCCCTTCCACCTTTTAAAGCTTTTATGTATCAGACACACCAGAAGAGGTCATTAGACCCCATTCCAGATGGTTATATCCACCATGTGGTTGCTAGGAATTGAACTCAGGACCTCTGGAAGAGCAGTCAATGCTCTTAACCACTGAGCCATCTGTCCAGCCCCTTTCCCTTCTTAAACTTCCATCCTCCCAACCTTGCAGAAAGCTGGTGAGGGCCGCCGGACAATGACCGTAGTGCTGGACCCCAAGCGCAGCAATGCCATCAACATTGGCCTAACCACTCTGCCGCCTGTGCACGTCATCAAGGCTGCCCTGCTCAACTTTGATGAATTTGCTGTCAGCAAGGATGGCATTGAGGTGGGACTACCTTAAGGATAAGAGGAGGGAAGTACTGGCTCTTTCCTTTGGTCAGTAGAATTTCTAGTCCTTCTGGTGGTGGGCATAGGCCTGCCATTTCTGTAGAGCATTCTCCCAAACCTCTGGGGTTCCCCTAGAAGGCCTAGGGAGGGGTAAGGCCTCAGGTCAGTACTGAAGGCCTCTGTGGGGTGGTGGCTGAATCTTCAGAAACTGCTGACCATGATGCCCACGGAGGAAGAGCGGCAGAAGATCGAGGAAGCCCAGCTGGCCAACCCTGATGTACCCCTCGGCCCAGCTGAGAATTTCCTGATGACTCTTGCTTCCATTGGAGGCCTTGCTGCACGCCTACAACTCTGGGCATTCAAGCTGGACTATGAAAGCATGGAGCGGGTACCAGGGTCATGGAGTGGGATGGGGTGGTACGAACTGGTGAGTAATGACCATGTAGCCTGAAGGCTCCTTGTCCCTCACACCAGGAAATTGCAGAGCCACTGTTTGATCTGAAAGTGGGCATGGAACAGCTGGTGCACAATGCCACCTTCCGCTGCATTCTGGCTACCCTTCTGGCTGTGGGCAACTTCCTCAATGGCTCCCAGGTAAGCGAGGGCACTTGGCGACTGGACAGGCTCTGGATCCAGCTAGGACCAAACTGAGACAGGGTCCTTTCAGAGCAGTGGCTTTGAGCTGAGCTACCTGGAGAAGGTGTCTGAAGTGAAGGACACAGTGCGCCGGCAGTCGCTGCTGTATCATCTCTGCTCCCTGGTGCTCCAGACCCGACCTGATTCCTCTGACCTCTACTCAGAAATTCCTGCCCTCACCCGCTGTGCCAAGGTTAGTACCAGGCAGAGATTCCACTAAGACTGGCTGAAATACAAGAGGGCACTGTTTGTTGGGGTGACTCCTTCTCCTCCTCTTACCTAATTGGGCTGCTGTGCCAGGGCTCAGGGAGGCTTTGGGTATGTGAGCTGTATCCTCTGCCGATGGATTTTAAGGGCTTCACCATAGCCGTCTAGTTCTTTGGGCTTATTTAGTTGCCACTTCCTCCAAGTAACTAACCTTTTCTGGTTTTGCTTGGAGCAATTGGACTGATATGTCTCGTATTAAAACTATAAATGTTTTGGTTTGTTTGGTGATGCAGGGGCTTAAATCCAGGGTCTTATGCAATGAATGCAAGCATTCTATACCACTCAGCTACATCGCCTGCCCACTTTTTACTTTCTGAGACAGGATCTAAGTTGCCGAGGCATACACTGAACAAACACTGTTGCCCAAACAATCTAGCCTGGACCTGGGGGCACAGCTGAGGCCTGGCATGGTAGTGCCAACATGTGGCATTCAGGCCTCAAGCAGTGACACACACATGCGCGCGCGCGCGCACACACACACACACACACACACACACACACACACACACAGGATGTGTACCCTCTTGCTTTTTAGGTGGACTTTGAGCAGCTGACTGAGAATCTAGGGCAGCTGGAGTGCCGGAGCCGGGCTGCTGAGGACAGCCTCCGGAGCTTGGCAAAGCATGAGCTAGCCCCAGCTCTGCGTGCCCGCCTCACCCACTTCCTGGCCCAGTGTACCCGCCGGGTGGCCATGCTAAGAGTAGTGCACCGTCGAGTCTGCAACAGGTGGGGCCATGCACCAGAGTGAAGTAGGGTTGCCACCACCATCCCTTAAACCTCAGGAAGACTCACTCCAGTCCCCCACCCCTTCCAACCTGCCTAGGTTCCATGCCTTCCTGCTCTACCTGGGCTACACCGCACAGGCAGCGAGGGACGTTCGTATCATGCAGTTCTGTCACACGCTGAGGGAGTTTGCCCTTGAGTATCGGACTTGTCGGGAGCGTGTACTGCAGCAGCAGCAGAAGCGGGCTACATACCGTGAGCGCAACAAGACTAGGGGGCGCATGATTACTGAGGTGAGTGCCCGCCCCCTTGCAGGTCTTGCCTGCCACCTCATGGTTCTATTTCCTTGCTCCTAACCACTCTTCTTTCCCTGTTTAGACAGAGAAGTTCTCGGGTGTGGCCGGGGAGGCCCCCAATAACCTGTCTGTCCCAGTGGCTGTGGGCAGTGGGCCAGGCCGGGGTGATGCGGACAGTCATGCCAGTATGAAGAGTCTGCTTACCAGCAGGCCAGAAGACACTACACACAGCCGACGCAGCAGAGGTAAGGCTCACAGCTGCTACTAGGAGAACGTGTTTGTTCTAAAGCCACCTTCGCCTGACTTCCCTGTGCTGTTTCCCTTAGGTATGGTCCAGAGCAGTTCCCCTGTCTCAAACACAGCAGTGGGGCCCTCTACTGCATCCCCTGAGGAGACTGCAGCTTCCAGCTTACCCAGTGACACATCAGATGAGATAATGGACCTGCTGGTGCAGTCAGTTACCAAGAGCAGTCCTAGAGCCTTAGCTGCTCGGGAGAGGAAGCGCTCTCGTGGCAACCGGAAGTCCTGTGAGCACACCTTTACAAACCCACTGAGTGCTCCCCTTATCTCCCCCTACACCCTCCTCCCGCCCCCTATAACCCTGTTCTGTCCCTGCAGTGAGACGAACGTTGAAGAGTGGACTTGGAGACGACCTGGTGCAGGCACTGGGACTAAGCAAAGCTCCTGGCTTAGAGGTGTGAGAGTGCTACCACACCTGGATACAGTGACAGCATAAGAGACTGAGCAGAGAGGGCCCGGAGCAGAAACCTGGTTTCAGAAGCTTGCACCCAGTATTGTGAACAGTATTAGGTGTGTGTGTGTGTGTGTGTGTTTGTGTGTGTTTGCACACATACATGTACGTGCATTTTGCATGTGTGAGTTCCCTATTTGGAACAAAATAAAGTTTACCTAGCTAATCCCAAGAGTCTTTTTCTTCTTTAAAGATTTCTGCCTCGCTCAGCCAAGAAAGGAGTAGCATGGAACTAAAATTCTTCCTGCTTTGTGCATCATCACCCACACAGCCATTAGCCACATTCAAAACTATTTATTCAGTAATCCAATAATTCAGGCTGCTTTTGGCCCTTAAACTAGGCCCCTCACTGCTCCAGGCATGGGGCCACCCAGCCTAACAGAGCCAGCCAGCGCCCAGCAGCCTATGGCCACAGTAAGGACACTATAACCTTTTCATCTGCCGCCGCTCCTGTCGGCGTTGTCGTTTTTCATTGAGTTCTGGTGCTGGGGCGCCACCGTCTGCTGTGAACCAGGGGCCCAGCACGTTTACCCACAAGAGGTAAAGGGCCCGGCCTGGAGCCTAGGAGAGAAAACAACTTGAAGCTACTTGCAAAGACTGGAAAGAAATGGGAAGGGTTAAGTTCTCTTAGGAGGTCCAACCCTCCAGCACACGTACCAGAAGCCAGAAGGACCAGATGTAGAGGGAGAAGCAGCTGAGCACCTGAACAATGGCTGTCAGTAGGATCACATCCTTAAGGTGCCTGTGGATAAAGGGAAGGCTGCCAAGGACAGGAGACTGGCCCTAGGCCTGCCCCTTCCATACTGTTTAGGTTGAAAGTAGTTGTGAGTCTTGGGCTGTGTGGGCCCCAGCGCCCCAGCCCTGGGGCCGCTCACCTGAGCTGGCGATGGGGGACACTCACTCTGCCATGCCCTGCTCCATGTTGAGGTCCATGCCACCATCCATCAAGGCCCCATCCTCAGAGAAGGATGCCCGAGCCATCGAGCTCATAGAGTGGTAGCTGGCCCCATACACTGCCAAACTGAAGCCCAGGGCCATCTGCAGAACAAGAGTAAGAATATCACAGGCCAGCTGCTGACCCTCTGGGTGCGCTCCTTTCCCAGGATGGGGATACTTACCCAGGCCCAGAATGAGGCAGATGAATAGAAGAAAACCAAGGTCACAAGGCAGTAAATGGCCTGCAAGCAAAAACAGGATCAGGCTGGGGCTGAAAGCCACCCCCCCCCCCAAATTATGGGCTTTCCTCAACTCTGACCAAGAATTGGGCAAGACTAGGAGGAAGAAACCAGGTGGTGGAAGACCTCTGCTTTCTGAGTCAGACAACTCTAAAACCCACATCAGTCCAGGAAGAGAAGCCTTAGTGTAACATGTATAAGTTTAGTATGGTCTCAGTATAACAGCTGAGTTAGTTACACTCAGCTGGAACTTTTATTTTGTTTCCCCTTCATTTCTTCATGTTTTGCTTCTACTTCTAGTCCATATTTCCTTCTGTGTTTGGCTACTTTAAAAAAAATGTTTTAAAATACATTTTATGTGTATGAGTGTTTTTGCCTGCAATGTGTGTACCATGTGTCCTGGTACCACAGAGGTCACATGAGAGCATTGGATCCACTGGATCAGAAGGTCTCAAGCTACCATGTGGGTGCTGGGAATGGGACTGAGGTCCTTTGTAAAAGCAAGTGCTCTTAACCACTCAGCCCCTGGATACTTTGGGGGCGGGGGCAGTGTTTGCTGGTGATGACACTATGACCTCAGTCTTCCAAATAGCTGGAACTACAGTTATATACCACTATGGAGGGCTTCACTCATTAACCCCATCTCGCCCTTTTCTTCTTTTGAGATAGGATTTCTTTGTAGCTCAAAGCTAACTTCAAACCGCCCATCCTCCTGCCTGAGTCTCCCTAGTGCAGGGATTACAGGCTTGTGACTGCCCGGCTTTACTTCTTTACAACCTTCTCTTTTGGAGCCTTGGCTGCCTTTACCAGCACTCCCAATCAGATCGGAATGAGAAAGCATAGAAAACACGAGGCAGGCAACTTACATTGGCTCCCAGTATGATCCGGAGGTAAAACTTGAGAGTTTCTTTGTTCTCTTCAAATATCTGCTTTTTCCCTCTTGTACCCACTTTGCCTTTGGGCTGCAGAGGGATGATGAGATGCTGTCAGAGATTTTTTTTTTTTTGCCTTGATCGTCTTCACTCCCTGTACCAGCCGGGTTACCTACAGAGCTTTATCTGCACCACAGCTAAGTCCTTATCGTGCTTTGTCAAACCTAGCAATCCCCGAGATGCCTACCACTCCTCTAGTCCATTTTCCTACTACAGTTAGGACACCATCTTTACTGTACCCCCAGTTATGATTGCCTAATGCTCACCCCAAAACAATTCAAATTACGTTAGTATCTTCTTTGGCTCTTCAGGTAAGGTGAAGCTTTGGGTTGAGGACCTCTAAGGAGAACTCCGGCGGAACTTAATGGCGTCCCTCTCTAGCCTCTGGCGTAGTAGTTTAGATCTGGAACTGGCAACTCCCGCCTCCCCAACCCCCCGACGCCCGCCCTAGCCTCCAACACTATTTCTGTAGTCCTTGCACTGCCACCCTCCCCGCATCCCGTTCGCTCCAGCACGGTCCATAGGATGGCGCCCCTCTCTGGCCCAGAGCCTTATGCCTTCGTGCCCTTCTGTTTTCACTTTCCCAACACCGGGAAAGCTTTGCCGGTGCGGACTCCGCCTTGTCCCTTACCGCCATGGTGCGAAGCAAATACCACGGAAACAAGGGCGACTACTGGAACTGCAGACAGTAGACACCACATCGGCAGCCCATGCACTTCCGGTACAGACCGAAATCTTCGGATTCTGGACGGAAGTGGATTCCATTTCCTTCCCAGGCCCCGCCCCCTGAGACGGTGGGACTACACTTCCCAGATAACTTTGCGTGGGGGCGGAGACGGCAGAGAAGCGATGGCGGACTCGCTGCCTCTGGAGGTGAGAGGAAGCGGTCCTTCAGGCCTGGGTCGGGGACAGGCCCCGCCTTCGGGGTTCCAAGCTTTGGGGAAAGGCTATCTGACAGCTCGCCCGGCACCTCCCGCCAGGCGGAAACGAGCCGCCGGGCGGATCCCAGGACCTGCAAACTCTGGGTAACGGCCCTCTTTGGGGCCACTTCGACCCCTTCGGTTGAGATACCATGCCCTCTTCTTTACCCATTGACCCCAGAAGATGGCTGCTCTATCACCTCAATAAGGACAGACTGTCTGCCCATCCCCTTCCCTTGAGATGGCAGTTCCCTTCCCCTCAGTTCTAGAAGATGTCCGCTCCACCGTCCCTGAAGGGTAATCAATTTTATCCCCATTGGCCCCTTGGAATGGTCGTTCCATTTCCTCCGCCCCTCCCCCACCGTCCTCGCAATTGGAAATATACTGCTCCCGCCCTATCAGTTCTGGGGACCGAACCCGAGGTCCTTAATTAAAGACAAGCCTGCTTCTCATCCTAGACCCTTAGTGATGGCTGTCCCTGTATTATTCAAACCTATGGGATATTTGTTCCTTCAGCCAGGGGCAAGACTACTCTGCCCTCATGGGCAAGGATATACAGGTGCAGGCTTTGTGTCTTGTACCTTTTTTGAAATGGCTTCTCTTTCCGTTTCTCTCTGAGGGTTGGCAACCCCCTCTCATTGCCCTAGGAAGTCGGGCCCTTTCCAGTGAGTCCTGGAACACATCTTCTCCTTGGCATAGACCAGTCAATGACATCCTATTCCCTTTTGGCCCCAGAAGGTATCTATCTATTCATCCCTGTAAATCCCATGGGTGACCAGTAGTAGTAATCCTTTGAGGTGGTTTCATGGGATGACCACTCCACCTCTATCTCTCTCTCCTTTACCGTTAGAAAGGCTACTCCTTTCTCAGGTTAATGAATTATGATCCTTCCCATTAAGACATGCTTCCCTTTAACACTGCTCCCAGGGTTGATCATTCAGAAGATAGCTCAGCCACTCTCTTAGTCCAGTCTTCTCTCTTACCCCCACTAGGGATGGGGGCTTAGTCAGCCCAGGCCCATCCATACTCTTCCTTATGCCTCTCCTCTCTGGTCCTAGTTATTTTCCTCTGAGTAATCATCTCCTTTATCCCCCACCCCTTCCTTGAGCAAACCTTTGGTGAAAGTAGAGGCAAAGGACTATCTTTAATCCAGTAAATATTGGGTGAGTAATGAATATGTACTTAGCATCTGGGAAGAAAGGAGAAAACACAACGGGGCTAGTAAAGTCACTACAGAAGGACTTCCCAGAGAGAGCCCCACATCTGCGAAGAGAGGTGGACGGTGGACATGCTGTGTTGGTAGGGACGATGGGCTGGGGATGTTCTCGGAGCAACAGGCCCAACTAGGCATGAAGGTCTGGCAGTGTGGACCCAGGAGCAGAGATTTTGTTGTGAGATCATTGGTGAACCCAGGAGGTTTTCACTAGAGTTACTGAAACTGGGCTCTATGTGGATTAACAAGGCTGAACATAGAAAGAAGCTGCTCTAGAGGGTAACATTTAGAGCTCTTAATATGGTGAAACTGCAAAGGTAGAAATGCTTGTAATAGCCATCCAGTCCCTGTAAAGCTGGTCTATATTGTTTTAAAACACCTTCACTTCTTCAGACTCTGAAGCTGAGAGAAGTCACATGCTTCCACTGGAATTACCTGGAAAGTCCTAGAGCTGGGATTTGAGGAGCCTCGGTTAGCCTTGCCTAAAACTTCAGGTTTATGAGCAGAGAATGGAAGAACATGAGTCCAGGTGTCACTAGGGACCTCAAATAGGGAGTATACAGTTGCCTTGAAAGGGTAAAGTTGGACTGAGGGCAAATAGCACTTTCAGTTGTGATTAAGGTTGAGGACTATTTGAGTATAGGACCCCAGAGACAATTGGCAGTACTGGACTAATGTTTGGATAATATGACAATGTAAAGCTATTAAATTATTGAGTATTCTTATACAAGTAAACTGAAAATGAAAAGAGTAAACATTGGGAGTCATGGAAAATCCAGAAATAGGACAGTTAGTGTGGTAAAGCCTAGAAAACATTGTCATGGGACTCGACAAGGGAAGATTCTAGAAGAAAAGGGCAGTTAATAGGAAGTTGCTCTTGGCCTCCCAAGTGATCCCTTTCCCACTTCAGACAGAGCCACAACCTCACCACCTATAGCCTCATAGAGCACAGTTGGAGTGAAGAGTTGAGTCTCTCAGATTTGTTGTGTCGTCCTACCTTAAGCTGGCTGAGAAAACAAGCTGAAAATGGAGAAGATGGGAAAGACTGGGGATCCCAAAGCTGGTCATCATGGCTCCACTCACAATTCTGTCACATGAGATAGAGTTGTAGCTAAGGCAGGAGAATGGCTGTGCCAGGTGAAGCCAGTCCGAGTACATAGTGTGTTCCAGGATAGCCTAGGTTACACAGTGAAACCCTGTCTAAGTGGGAAAGCGACTTGTGTTCTTGATGTGCCGAAAATGCTGTTTTGTAACTTCCCGCAAGAACCTGTTTACATCTCACAACAGTTGCCATTTTACAGACAAGAAAAACAAAGCTCAAAGAAGTTGGCTAGCCAAGGGGGAACTGGACTAAGTTTGTGTAGCCCCAGTGCTCGAGCTGTTTCTACTAAACTGGGTATGAGTTTTGATTATTACTTCATACAAACCCGTTCTCAGAAGTGGCTCATGGTAGGTTCGTTCTCACGAGGTATGCTTCGAGGCTGGAGAAGGGACGTCAACACTTCATGAAGCTTTGGATCCAAGATGGACTAGAAGCCAGTGCTCTGATGTCCTCAGAGCCAGAGGAGTAGGTGCTAAAGCCCTTCCGATTCTAAGAGCTCTCAAACACCGTATCTTTTTCCCTCAGATGCTCACTTACATCCTGAGCTTCCTACCTCTGTCAGATCAGAAAGAGGCCTCCCTCGTGAGTCGGGCTTGGTACTGTGCAGCCCAGAATGCCCTTCGGGAGGTAAGGTGCCCACCTCACTTGGTCCATTCTTAGTTATCCCTCTTCTCCTTCTCACGGCCTGCTTATACATCATCTGCCCATCCATCCACACATACTTCTATACATCCATATACACATTCATAGGAGCTAGTCTCATGGTACAGAGCTTGGGGTGCACAGGTGAATAAAACCTCGTCCCCCTCAGGAGCACATTGTCCAGTGAAGGAAACTAACATCATGATACCATGTGTTCAGTGCTACATCACTCAGTGAAAATGTGAAACCCAGATAAGGGCACCAAGACGACACCATGCAGTGGCATCAGGGTGGGCCTGAGAGATAGGATAGGAACACATGTTGCTCTTTCTAGAACTGTCATCAAGGTATGGAAATTCCAAATTACTAGATTAAGTTTTGTGTGGGGGATGTAGGAGGAGAGCCAAGAATGTAGCCAAGACTGCAAGGTGGCAGATGTGCCGGGCAGCAGAGCTTGGGGTTTCTTCCAGGTACTACTGTGAGGCCTTTAAGAAATGGTAAGACAGGCCTGGAGAGATGGCTCAGCAGTTAAGAGCACTGACTGCTCTTCCAGAGGTCCTGAGTTCAAAATCCCAGCAACCACATGGTGGCTCACAACCATCCGTAATGAGATTGGATGCCCTATTCTGGTGTGTCCGAAGACAGCGACAGTGTACTCATAAATAATAAAAAATAAATAAATAAATCTTAAAAAAAAAAAAGAAAGAAAGAAATGGTAAGACAGGGCTGGAGAGATGGCTCAGTGGGTAAGAGCACTGACTATACTTTCGGAGGTCCTGAGTTCAATTCCCAGCACCCACATGCTGGCTCACAACCATCTGTAATAGGATCCAATACCCTCTTCTGTTGTGTCTGAAGAGAGGACGGTGTATTCACGTACATAAAATAAATAAATCTTAAAAAAAGAAAGAAAAGGTAAGACAGGCAAGGACAGTGTGACCTGTGTCTTAGAACTCCACAGTGCAGAATGGACTAGAGGGTGAGACAGAGGCTGGGGAGGCAACCCAGGCAGGAGGGCAACACAGACATCTGTAGTATTTGAAAGACAAACAATGATTGTGTGTTAATTTGATTTAATTAATTTTGATTTAGTTATCAGTGAAGTTAAAATTTTTTTTTGTCTCATTAGCTCATTTTTGTCTCAGTGTTCTTTACTCACTTAACTAGTAGGGTCTTAGTAATTTGCTTGCCCATTTGTATGAACCTTTTATATGTTAAAAATAAATTCTTTAGCTGGGCAGTGGTGGTGCATGCCTTTAGTCCCAGCACCCAGGAGGCAGAGGCAGGTAGATCAGGCCAGCCTGGTATACAGAGCAAGTTCCAGGACAGCCAGGGTTACACAGAGAAGAAACCCTGTCTCAAACAAACAAACAAACAAACAGAAAAACAAAATAAAAAGATTAATTATTTATGTATTTGTTAAAATATATTCCTATTTGCTCTTTCATTTTATTTGTAGATAGCTGTTTTTATAGATGAGATACAATACTAAGCTGTGTTGGCAATTCCTTTCTTTTTCTTTCTTCATTGATTATTTAAAGATTCCTTGCCCTCCAGAGATTTCATCAATGCATGCTCATATTTTTATTCTTTTAAAGAATATAACTGACTTTTAGAGTAGTAATTGGTTCAATAAAAATAAAATTTCTGTTTTATGGTTTTAATGTTTTGTTTTCTTTTTTTTTTTTAGTTAAATTTGGGGTGGGCAGTGTCTCACAATGTAGCCCAGGTTAGCCATGAGCTCAGCAATCTATGTGCTTCAGCCTTCTGAGTGCTTAGGTTACAGACAGGAGCCACCATGTCCAGATTGGTTTTAACTTTTATTGGTGAGAATTATGTTTCATTCGTGAAACTTTTTAAAATTTATATGATAAAGTATGAAGCTAACCTGTTTGGAGCTAACCTGTTTGGTTTCCAAATAGCTCCTACATAATTTGTATCTAACCTTCGCTGTTAAGTTGGAAACCTCTTCTGTTACATATGAAATGTGTCTATGTAAATAGAGCCTGCCGTTGGATTGTCTATCTGGTGTCATGGATCTTAATATCTAAAGGAATTTTATTGGAGTTGTTGAAAATTTAAAGTGTGAGATATCCAGATGATAAGATTCAGTCGATAATTGAGTATCTCTGTGAGAGATTGAAGGGAAAGGTGTGGGTAACAAATCCAGACTCGGCGTCATTGAGAAGGGGAACCGTGAGGAGTGTAGCTCAGTGGCGGGGCTTGACTGGAATGGATAATGCCCTGGGCTTTAGTTGAACTCAGCTGGAAAAAATGGATGAAAGAAAAGCCCCAAATCTGAGGAGCTCCACCTCAGGGAAAGCTGTAAGGAGCAGAGGAACAGGAGACCAAGCCTGCAGAGCATTTACAGCACTGAAAGGATCATTAGTGATGTAAAGTCCGACAGAAAGACTGGCAGCACAAAGCTCATGGGCACGAGCTGTCCTGTGGAGTAACCCTGTAACCCCAGCACTTGGAAGGAGACATGGGAAGGCCAGGAGTTGAAGGAGCATCACCATGCCCATCAGTGTGTGAAGGGAATGGAGCAGAAGGGACAGTGAGTACTAAGAGTGACGGTAACTTGGAGTTACCCTAGGAGGGAGTTAAGAGTGTAGGAGGAGAGGCGCATTCAGGGATAGATGATGGATTCAGAATTGGACATTTTTTTAAAATCAGGGTTTCTAGAGAGTTCCATGAAGCAGTTAATCCCTAATGTCTGGTTGAGGAAAATAATATGGATCAGAAAGTAGCTGAGCCAGGCATGGAGACACATGTCTGTAATCTCAGCACTTGGAAGTCTCAGGCAGAAAGACTGCAAGTGAGAGTTCAACCTGGGCAAGATCCTGTTTCCTAAAACAACAAAAAGAAAGGAAGATAAGACTGGAGAGATGGTTCAGTAGAGGGGGTAAGAGTGCTTGCTCTGAAAGTGTGAGGAGCTGAGTTCAAATCCCTAGTGCCCACAGAACCCACTCCCGTGACCCCAGTGCTGTGGCAGGCAGAGACAAGAGAATCAATAGGGCTGCTGGCTGCCAGCCTAGCTCCAGCTTCAGTGAAAGACCTGTCTCTAGGGAATAGAATGTGGCATGGAAGGTTCTCCCCTGGCTCCCACGTGTGTCCTCACTCACTTGTGTACTTAGACCACACTCACCCACCACAGAAAGGAGAGCAAAGCTGTCTTATTCCATAGGATGAAGTACAGTGTAACAGAGCACATGGAAGGGGACAAAGATTGTACGTGTGTGTGTGTGTGTGTGTGTGTGTGTGTGTGTGTGTGTTGTCAGGTAGAACCTGCTCATCTACGGGCTGGGTCTGTAGATGACCCCAGAGAGACCAATGAAAAGCAGGCTAAAGAGTGAGAGGAGAGTCAGTGGCTACATGGGATGTAATGGCAAGGTTAATTGCTACAGCCCTTTTCCAGTAGGTGGCATAGTAAGGAGAGGAAAGAGAAGCTCCTACATGGTGGTGACTTGTGGGAAGGGAGCTGTGACCAGGAGCAAGTGACTCTGGCAGGAAGGAGTAAACAGAGGAGGCAGAAGGGAGCTAAGTGGCCAGACAATGGATGTGAATGTCCCCAGAGGAAAGGACTTTCTGAACCAAAAACTAGGAGCTGGAGGTGGAAGCCAGCTAGCAAACAGGGAGGGGATTCCTGATGACTTGGTTGCTTTTGAAGCAGAGCTGGCCTTTTCTAAGAAGGCTAGGTGCAGAGAAGCTTTTTTTTTTTTTTTTAAGATTTATTTTATGTATGTGAGTACACTGTCGCTGTCTTCAGACACACCAGAAGAGGTCATCGGATCCCATTACAGATGGTTGTGAGCCACCATGTGGATGCTGGGAATTGAACTCAGGACCTCTGGAAGAGCAGTCGGTGCTCTTAACCGCTGAGCCATCTCTCCAGCCCTCAGAGAAGCTTTTGCAGCAGGCTCAGAGCAGGAGAAAGTGGTTGGCTTGTTGGAAGGGAGACATGGAGGAAGTGGGGTAGGAAAAGCTGTGGCTTTGTTATCTTCAGCACAGACCACAGTGAGCAGCTGGCTTTGCTATCTACAGCTAGGCAAGAGGAGTGGGTACAGCAGCATGAGGGATCAGGACTATAAGCCCTCAGGAGAGAGAAGTCTCAGAGTCCAGCAAGGAGGAAGAGGGCAGAGGGAGTGAGCAGGCTCCTGGGTAGAGGTAAGATGGGATAGGAGGAGCAAGAAGGAAGGAAGAGAAGGCTAGGGTTCATGGCCGAGATCTTAGTGGCTACTGGTGTAGAGCTGGCATTACTACCTGGGAACTCCAGATCATGTTTACAAAGACCCTGCTAGGCCGAGAACAGTGGAAGGCCAAGCTGTAGGTATACAGGCATCTAAGGCACTGCTTGTCACCATTACGATAAACCAGAGAGTGGTCTACAGTGCCTGCTCTCTAAGACCCAGACGTAGGCAGGTGGAGCAAGAGGCAGTTCCATAAACTACTGGTACCATGGAAGATAGTAGCCAACTGAGGCAAAGCTGGGACTAAATCATGCCAAGCCAGGGTAGGATACATGGACTATATGATCCACATGCTCCCAAATTCTGCCTACTGCCCTGGAAGTCTGGGGCGGCCACCATTGGATTGATCACTATGGAACAGCTCATAGTCTCTCCACTGCTGACCTCATGACCAGAGTACTTAACTCCTCCAGAGACCAGGACTTCTGAGCACCAGGGCTATATTTCACTGCAGTTTTCTGAATGGAAAGCAGGTACCTTAGCTTTTGGATTCCTGAACCAAGCAGATGAGAAAATTCTTCTATTAGAGGGCCCTTAAAACCTGTACACAAGCCGGGCGGTGGTGGTGCACACCTTTAATCCCAGCACTTGGGAGGCAGAGGCAGGCGGATTTCTGAGTTCGAGAGTTTGAGGCTAGCCTGGTCTACAGAGTGAGTTCCAGGACAGCCAGGGCTACACAGAGAAACCCTGTCTTGAAATACCAAAAAAAAAAAAAAAAAAAAAAAAACTGTACACAAGCCTCTGTCTCACTGTGAGGCTTCACTAGGTACTGAGTCTTGCCCTCTGACAATCAAGGGGTAGTTGTCATTCTTAAAAGTGAACATTTCCAAAGTGACTGCAATTGCTCATAAGATGCTAACGTGGGGAAAGGAGGGCTTACTTGTCACCTACAGGTGGAGTGGCTGAGCCTAGAGCAGGTGCCCTTCTAATCCTCCCTCGGGCCTCCAAACACAGTTTCTTAGGGTCTGGAAAAGCCGAAGCCCAGAACCCAGGGACCCTGCTTACACCTGCCCCACAAAGAAGCAAATATTCTTAAAAAGACTGCCCTTTCACTCCCTCCTATTCTATCCAGGAGCTGACATCAGGATCAAGTTGACCATTGTATAAAGTCCTCTAGGCTGCCTGGTATGGCTAAGAGTAACAGTGGTCAGGGGTCACTGGGGATGGGGCTCAGTTGGTTGAGTACTTGCCTTGTAAAAAGTCCTGGGCTGGATTCCCAGTATTACATAAAACTAAGAGTAGTAATGCATGCCTATAATCAATCCCAGCACTTGGGAGGTGGAAACTAGCCAAGTTCAAGGTCATCTCCTGCTACATAGCAAGTTCAAGGACAGCCTGAGCTATGTAAGACCTCATCTCAAAACAATTTGAAACAAAGCAAAACAGAAAAACCAGCAGGGACCAGGTATGGTCTCAAGTATCCTCTCTCCCCAAGAAGCTGGAAACCCTCTGTTCCAGACCCTTCCTATTTGTCTTGTGTCTGCCAGCTGTGGACTGCACCCTGGGGTGATTGCCAGTGCCCTCTCTTGCCTGTTTGTTCGTCTTGTTCACAGAGAGGTAGTTTAAAATGGCAGAACATTCCTGGCTGCTTAAGTTCTCAGGAAGGGAAGGCAGCCGAGCTCCTTTGTGCTTGTAGCTGTTAGCACAGACTTGCTCTTAGGCTCGCTCCCAAGCCGCATGAGTGCTGGGGGTGAGCACTGCCTGAGCAACTGAGCTGCTCATAGCTCCCCCAGCTCTGATTTATTCGGCATTAGACTGATTGACATGGTGTGCAGAGGCTTCTCAGCTGTTCAGGGCTGGTGTCAGTCGGCTTCCACTTTTCTTTCTACAGCCTTCCTTCTCTGAATTGTTCATCTCCTTCCCCAGCTTGTCACTCTGGGAACTTCCCCTAGCTCTTCTTACATTTGAGAGAGGGACCTGGGACCTTTGGTGAGTGCTCCTCTTCAGGGAGCAGGGGAAAAAACCACAATCGAAGTGGGATCAGTAAGGGGATCCTGGCCAACTTCTGAGAAAGACCAGGAAGATGGTTCCTGTCTTTTTCCTTTTTTGAGACAGGTTTTCATGTAGCCCAGCCATGTCTCAACCTGCTATGTAGTCAAAAATGACCAAAAACTTCTGATTCTCCTGCCTCTAACCCTGGGATTATAGGAATCTATCACTATGCCTGGTTTCTATAATGCATGGTATCGAACCTAGGGCTTTGTGCTTGACCACCATTTACTCTACCAGCTGAGTTACAGTCTTGGCTCCCAGTTCTTGGCTCTTCCTTACAGTGGCTGTTTCTGCTAAGGAAGAAGCCAGCTGTTCCCCCTTCCCCGGGGATGGGCTGTATGGATTGGAGGGCACTGCTAAGATTTGCAGGATTGCCTGCTGCTCATCAGAGCTGCCTTCCACATCCGGGTGGTTGTTGTTCTGAGGGATACAGAGAACAGGAGTGTTTTTGTTATTACTGACAAAGGTAAGTGTTTTCCAGAGCTCAGCTTTCCTGCATCAGAACCATGTTGATAGAACTAACGCCTTTTTAAAGAACCACTTTGCTGCTGCCTAGGCAACAGGTAGGGAGATTGGACCAGGTGACTTTTTTCCCTCACACATGCTAGATAATTACTCTACTCCTGAGCTGCATCCCCGAGCTAGTGGATAGGATTTGGAAGTCCAGCTGTTCTCTCTCCCACTACAGATCAATTCCATGCAGATTGTACTGACTTCCCCTTAACTCCTTTTGGTGTGAGATCTGGGAAGGTTCTATGGAGATATTTCCCTTAGTTGGGTGCTCCCAAACTCCTGCCTAGGCCATCCAGTGCCACATTTTAAACATGAGCTGAACTCCTGTGTTGTACCCCAGCTCCAAACACGAGCTCCTCATTCTCTTCCAGGCAAGTCCAGTGTAATATTCTTGGCTTCTCTGGGGTTTATCCTGGGTCCTGCCCCTGCAGATGTGATACAGGTGTTCCAGGCATCTCCACATGTTAGAATGCATGTGCAGGCACACTTCTGCTTACACTACTTGCAATATTCATGACACTCAGGCCACCCGGGGACTAGGCTCAGTGCTAATTCCACTAGTATTCCAGAGTGATCCAGTGCCCTCGTACCTGGATCCCAAGAAGTGAAGTGACATCTGCTGCCCTTCTGCCGTGCAGTCCGTTCAGTGCTGTTTCTATCCTCTCTAGAAAGTTGGGGAAGCTGGTTGCTAATGTCAAGATCCTGGCCGGCTTCATGGATCTCACGATCTGAAACTCCAAGATTGTGATCCAGCATCCTTTGATCTCCCACTCCATGAAGGCGTCACTGGATGTCCTGTGTGTCACAGCTCTCCTGTGCTCAGTCAGCTCACTTTCCACACTATCCTTGTCCCTCTGTGGGCATCTAGCATGGTCCTCTGCTCAGCTTCCTGCTAGCCCAATAGTCATTTTCTTCCAAATGCCAGCATAATTTGTCTTTTTACTTCCTGCTTAGTTTTTCTTCCCAGTTCCCACTTCCTGCTTACAGTCTCCTCAGCTACACATGACACACACAGTAGGGATGGGTGCTCATTGTAGAAGGGCCTTTTTTGACTGTCTTCAACCTCTGAGAAATCTAACCTCAGGCTTGCTGCTACCCTGTAGACAAATGTGCGCTACAACATTCCTGTGTCCTCTGCCTCACTCTCAGCCATCAAGAGTTTGGGCCTCAGGGGCATTTCATGCATCAGCTTGACCAATCTGGACGGCTCACCAGCTTCGCACCAGGTACTGGAGTCTGTTGCTTACTACTTAGGCCCACACCTGGAAAGCTTATGCCTGGGTGGGGGCAGCCCCACAGAGGCATCCTTCTTGGCCTTGATCTCGGGATGTCCAGTCCTTCGCACACTTGATCTCAGTGGCTGCAACAGTCTCTTCACATCAGGCACTCTGCTGGCTCAGCCTGAGACAGTGCAGTGTGTACGAAAGGCATTGAGTGGCCTCCGTGATCTTAACCTGGCTGGCCTGCGTGACCTGACTGACCTCAGCTTCAACCATCTCAGTGGTTGTTTCCCCAGCCTGGAGCGCCTCTCCTTGGCTTACTGCCATCTTACCTTTGAGTTAAGCCCAACCTGGGGCTCTGTCAGCCCCCAGGTTTCCTCTCCCTCCCAGCTTTCTTTCCACAACTTGCTACAGTTCATCAAGGAACGAGCTGGTACACTGCGTGCCCTAGACCTCAGTGGTACTGGTTTGCCACCTGAGGCCCTACAAGCCCTGGGCCAAGTGACTGGATTGAAGCTAGAGGAGCTGAATGTGCACAGCTGTAGAGACCTCTCCTCAGAGGCTGTGGCCACCCTGTGCCGCCAGCAGCCTGGTCTCACTTCCCTGGACCTTAGTGGCTGCTCAGATCTAACCGATGGGGCACTCTTGGCTGTGAGCCGAGGCTTACGCCACCTGCGGCACTTGAGTCTGAAGAAACTACAGAGACTGACGGATGCAGGATGTACATCCTTAGGGTCCCTGCATGAATTGCAGAGCCTGGATATGGCTGAATGCTGTCTGGTGAGTGGTCAGGAACTGGCCCAGGTCCTAGGCTCAGTTCGCAGAGCTCCACCTGCACTGACTTCCCTCAGGCTGGCTTACTGCTCGTCACTGAAGGTGAGCTCCTTTCCCTCCCTTCTGTTTAGGGAACCTGGGGGAGCTGGTCCTGTGCCCCCAGAGAGAGGCTACCAGTGTTTGCATCCCAGACATAATAGTTAGGAATGAATTTGAGACATGGTTTGGAAGAAAACAGTAGCTTAGACACATGGCATTGCCTTTGCAGTCCTCACTAGCCAGGTTCATGAACTGATCCTACACCATATGTGAGTTCTAGATGGAAGAATCCTAGAAAGAATGAGTGATTGGAAACTCTGGGAGTGGTGGCACGAACCACTAGCCCTAGCACAGAGGGCAGAAGCAGGCCAATCTCATGAGTTCAAGGCCAACCTGGTCTACAAAGAATTTCCAAGTCAGCCAGGGCTAGTCAGAGAACTCCCCATCCAAAACGTAGGTGTTGAATTGTACCAAATAAGATGTTCAGCAGGCAGGGCTGTGAGGTGGGAATATCACTTGAGAGCTGCAGGGTTACCTTTTAGCTGAAGTTAGATCCTTCACAGGGCACAGCATTGGCCTATGGGTGGCATTCCTGTCTGGAATATCGGTTGGTCCCTCTTGTGTGGGTTATCCCTTTAACCTGTTACCATAACAAGAACATTACAAACGTAAATCCTATGTCAATTTCATTTCATGCAAGCACTCCTCCCACTCATTGGCCACCCATGTCTCTTAGTATTCTCCTGCCTCCACATGGCCCTCTGAATCTACACCAGCTTCTCTACTCTGCTCCTGCTGCCCCCAGCTTCTCATGGTGGTGGCTGCGCTAACACTTGAGGGTCAGATTCCACAGGAAACACATCTGATTGGTTCACCTTTCTGCTCCTGGTCCAGTGGGCTGTGGTTAGAGTGCTGTCTTTTACATCCTTTCAACAGGGCTGGGAACAGGCATAGCAGCTACCTTAAACTACCTGTCCATTCTTCCTTGCCTCACCCATAGGTTTTGTCTGTCAGCAACCCCCTCAAGGTCTCCCACCCTTCATAGCCCACCCAGTGCACCCCAAACTTTCACAGCCTGCACAGGAACCATGTTGCTTCTCTCTTTGGGCCCTCAGGCTGAGAAACTTATCAGCCCCTTGCTGGTGGCCCCTGCCAAGCTTGGAGGCACACACTGCTATTTGTAACCTTCTGTCCTCCTCCCAGGATGCCTCGGTGCTCTCCATGATCCCAGCCTTGGGCCCAAGCCTCAAGGTGCTGGACTTGTCCTCCTGCATGGCCCTCACTAACCAGAGCATGCAGGCCATCTGCACCCACCTTAGTCACCTGTCAGTCCTGCGTCTGGCGTGGTGCAAGGAGCTCCAGGACTGGGGGCTTTTGGGGTTGAAGGAGCCAAGCGATGAGCCTGTGCCCAGCCCCCAGGTATGAGATCCTTAAAGTCAGGGATGGTGAGGTGACCTTGGTCCAAGCTGCCCTTCTGCGTGTCCTGAATCTTTGGCAAAACTTAAGAAGAACCTAAGAAGCAGGGATTTCTTCCCACAGCTACACCAAGAGGTGGAAAGTCAGGCTCCAGACCCTCAGGAGCCCAGTTCTGAGCCACAGGGCTCCTCCCTGCTCACACTCCAGGCCCTGCAGGAGTTGGACCTCACAGCCTGCAGTAAGCTGACTGATGCCAGTTTGGCCAAGGTGTGACTAAACTGAGGACATTAGGGCTGGTAGTAGGGGATTGGGCAACCCACTTTGTGCTTAGAGTCCCTTTCTCTTTGGTTCCTGGTACAAGCGAGGAACCTGGAAGGGGCCCAGGCTTCGGGGCCCAGTGCCAGTATGTATCCATATTCGTGCAGGTGCTCCAGTTCCCTCAGCTCAGGCAGTTGTCATTGAGCTTGTTGCCAGCTTTCACAGACATGGGCTTGGTGGCTGTGGCTAGGGGCTGTCCTAGCCTGGAACGCTTGGCATTGAGTCACTGCAGCCACCTCAGTGACGAGGGATGGGCCCAGGCAGCCAGGTTGTGGCCAAGGCTGCAGCATCTCAACCTGTCCAGCTGCAGTCAGCTCACAGAGCAGTAAGTGTTTGATGGCACTGCATTGAGCAGGTGTAGCTGCAACACATGGGCTGGGCTGTAGTCTCACACTGGGTCAGGCACTCATCCTCTGGCCTCCTTGCAGAACTCTGGATACCATTGGGCAGGCATGCAAGCAGCTTCGAGTGTTGGATGTGGCCATGTGTCCTGGTATCAACATGGCAGCCGTCAAACACTTTCAGGCCCAGCTGCCTCAGGTGACCTGCATCCAGTCTCGGTTCGTGGGAGGGGCTGACCTGACCCTAACACTTTGAGGCCAGGTCAGTTACTAGCCCTGAAGCTCATCTTTCCTCACCAATATAGTCCTAGCCCAGGCCTCTGGAGCTCAGTTTGCCCTAGTGCCTCCTGCCTTCCCCTGTTCTAGAACCTTTTCTAAGACTGGATGGAAGCAATCCGGGACTCTTGCAACACCAGTGTACCCACAGATGGCAGCAGGTCTTTCCAGTTACACTTGCTGCATGGGCTCTATAAAGGGCAGACCCACAGGTGAGCTGGGCCTGGTGCTGGGGAGGCCAGACTCTGTGCCTCCTGCCAGCCACCTACTCAGACCCAAGGCCTCAGCTCTAGCAGCCAACCACCAACTTCATTGTAAACCTAAATGAGATTAAAGATCCCACAGCTTATGTCTTCCTCTGATGTTCTCAGAATAAAGGGGCCCTGGCTTCTTCCCATGGGAGATTTTGGAGGCCTTTCCCAGCACGTCTCCCTTCTTCTCCTACCCCTTGGGCATGCCCTGCTGCAAAGACCCTGGTCCTAACCAGATGTGGGTGTAACTGTTTACCAGATTCATGTGCTATCTTGGGATAGGGTAAGAAGTAGGAGAGCATGTCTCTGAGTAGGAGGATCCTATGTGGCCACAGAGTCCAAACACTGAACCATGCCAATGACTTCCCAGTGGCAGCTCTAGGTAGTCTTATCCAGTCGGTCCTCTGTGTGTCCCCATACTGTGTCTGTTTATCAGTTCTAGAAGCAGCTAGCCCATGCTTCATGTGGTATTCTCCAGAAGTACTGTTGTTCTTCCAGTCACCAAACCCGATAGGGAGAGAAATAAGCCAGCAGGCAGGAGCAGTCTGGTATGCAGGAGATGCATGGCCAGCACTGAGGGAGGAACCTACGGCAGCAACAAACTTAGAGGGTCAAGGAAGGCAGCAAGGCTGTGAACATGGCTGAAGGGGCACAGTCAGGTGGACAGACTGGAGCTGGTGCAGGTATGGAAGGTATGTATAGGGAAGATGCTAGCTTGGCTACAAGAACCCTGGGGACCAAATGAAAGGACTAAAACACATGTCTGTGTAACTCACCAGCTCAATTCAATTCATGGTAACCATGACAATAGAACAGTAGTGAAGTGGTGAACAATATAGGACATGTCTTAGTTACTGTTCTATTGCTGTGATGAAATACTATGACCAAGGCGTTTATAAGGGAAGGTATTCAATTAGGGGCCTGCTTAAAGTATCAGAGGGTGAGTCCATGACAGTCGTCGTGGAGAATATGTTGACAGGCATGGTGCTGGAACAGTAGTTAAGAGCTTACATCCCGAGCCACAGGCAGCAGGGAGAGAAAGAGCTAAACTGGGCCTGGTGTACACCGAGTACACACTTCTTCCAACAAAGCCACACCTCTTAATTCTTCCCAAACAATTCTATTAACTGGGGACCAAGCATTCAAGTATACGAGCCCATAGGGATCATTTTCATTCAAACCATCACAGGGAGTATATGTGATTATATAACCACATCTACTTTGCAGTGTTGGAGTGGCAGCTATTGAGGTGCTCAAAGCAGCAAGACTAGAAACTAAAAGTCAGGGGGTTAGTGCCAAAATGGAGGTGGCATGGACAAGTAGTTAAAGGTACCGAGAAGGATTGACTATTGGGATCCCTACTCCCCGTTGCCATTTTGAACTCAGAAGAGTTCTAAGTACAGAATCAGGCTTTGTGCCATGGACACTCAGAAGATTGGGAATACAGGGTTTTTGTTTTATTTTTTACAGGGTCAAATGTTTTGCTGGCACTTTCTTCAAAGGAAATGGCATTTAATCAATTTTTAAGGCACAGCATTAATGACCAGCATGTGAAACACAGTATTTGAGGAGTAATGAATGGTAGATAGCAGTTACTCAGGGTAGTGGTAGCTTTTGGCCTCCGCTGTGGGGCTACTGGGTTGCAATTATTTGTCTGAGGGGCTTAGAGTCTGACTGTTACCTGGAATCACCATATCCTCAGCACTCCTGACCCCACACTCTGGCTTGTCTGATTACCACCTCACTACGATCAGGAGTTAGATCTTAATTCTCTTACATTGATCAGCCCCTTTGTGTCCCTCGCACTTCTCACCAAAGGTTTCTGCACTCTACAGAAGACAAGGGCGAGGGCCAAGCAGAGTTGAGAAATGAGGGCAGACTATCAGGAGTCTTCTGAAAGCATGGCTTCCCAACAGATCCCTGTTGCTGGTCCCCAGGAAGGCATCCATTTGGAGCAGTGCATCCTGCCTTACTGCTTCTGTCAGCTGGCCAATATTCCAGTCACTTCTTTGACTGCTCAGATGACAGGTCATCCTCCTCTTCATGTCCAGAACTAAGGGAGGCTAAAGACTCACTTCAAGAAAGGCAGCAGTCCCTATTCCCACCCAACACCAGCCTTCCAAAGGTAGCTAGCTGTCCAAGTTTCTGGTCTCACCCGGTGTCCTTAGGTCATTTACTGTGTTTAAATACATGTATGTTTATCAACAGGTTTAGCCCACAGGTTCAGAGCTGATTTGACACATACCTATAAGCCAAGCTAACTTTATTTCTGCCAGAGGCTCTGCTGGTCAGGTTGTCTGTGATTTTCAACCCTTTTTGAGTACCAACTGTGGCCTAACTTCAGTCAAGGCTCAGTGATGCTGTAGTCATAGCAGAAGTTGAAGTTAGTAGGGGGTGGGGGTACTGGGGGAGGCTGCTCAGGAATGGGCACATTCTCCAGTTCCAACAACCGTAACTTGGTCTCCATAGTGAGCAGGTGCTCCAGGTCTAGCCGAGTCTGCTCACTGCCCATGGTACTGCCCAGCAGGGCACTCAGCCCATCTGTCCACAGGTAGAACTAAGGATGGACAAGACCAACTCTGTGAGGGTCTGTCCATCTGTTCCCCTGCCCATCTGCCCAGCAACCTGGCCCAGACACTTACATCCCGTTTGGAGGGGGCAATGAAGTTGAGGTATGCTTCTTCCTCCCCATGGTCATAGCTGATGGAGAAAGCCAACTCATAGAGGTCCTAGGAAAGTGGAAGTAAGGACACTGAGCAGGAAATAAGCAGAGAGGGAAAGATGGGGCAGAGCCTCTGACCCTACTGCAGTCACCTTGTTCTGCTTCCCAGAGCCCTTCTCTCGGACATGGGGGCAGTCCTTGCCCATTAGGAGTGCCCTGATGTCTGCCACAGGGACTGTAGAAAAGAGACTTGGATGACCACCATGGCCCAAGGCCGACCCGAGGCATGGGGCCTATAGGGAGAGGGAGCAGGTGGAGGAGCCCTAGCCCTGCCCTCCTTACGTTGTTCAGGTAGGCTTTCTAGGGTAGGTGGGTTGGCACCCTCCTCCACATCCCCATACTGCAGTACTTTGTGGTTGGGGGATAAACAGCAAAACCATAGTTTGTCTGCAGAAAAGAGAGGAGTGATGAGGGCTCTGACCCCAGGTAAGCCCCTCCCCACACCTTTAGCCCATTCAGAGACCCTGGCGTCTCCGGCTGCTGATCTTGCGGAAGAGCATTCCCTCACAGAGTCGGAGCAGACGCTGCTGGCGGATTAAACCCATGAGCTCTGGCTTCAGCTTCTCTCGCAGCTCCCTGGATGGTTGAGAGTCATTAGCCAGGGCTGACCCGGAGCATGGCCAACAGTGCACTGGGGAAAAGGGGGTCCCTACCAACTTACAGTATAGGAGGGGCCAGCGTGCCCTCCTGGTGCAGCCGCTCTGTCTGCCGCAGCTTCAACACTTCCCCATAGGTGAGGGCATTCACTTTGGTTCGAAAGATCTCCAGGGAGGTGGGCTTCAGAGCCAGGGTACGGGCTAGCTGCTCCCGAACCACTTGCATTACCTAGGACCACCAAAGCTCAGTGTAGGGCCTGTGTTCAGGACCCCTTCCCAGAAGATCCCCGGCCTTGCTGTTTCCATCCCACCCACCTTGTCAAAATCCTCCTGTGTTGCCCGCATTTCCTTCCAGGTCTTATTCAGCAGCTGGATAGCCACACAAAAGAGCTCATGGAAACTGTGGTCTTGGCTGAAGAACATGGGTGAGAAGTCCTGGGCTGTCTCGGAGCCTGGGGCAGGGGGGCAGGAGGGGCTCAGGGAGAAAGTATTTACAACCCCTGGCCCTCTCTGCCCTTCCGTCCCCTGTCTCCAGATATACTGGATCCAGCCCAACTCACATGGCTCCCCAACATGGAGCAGCTCACACAGTAGCACTGTCAGCTGGATGCTGCTCCGAGCAAAGGGGCATTCATGCTTGTCCTCTCGGCTACTGTTCTCCAGCACAAACTACGGCAGTGGAATAGACAATGGTAACAGCATCTCCATGGAGACCCTAAGGAAGCTGAGCTGCTGCCATCCCCCTGCCCCAGCCTGTTACTAACCCGACTGTATGCACTAGGTGCGTGTCTGGAGAAGTAGACCATGTTGTCCAGAGCCAGCAGGCCAGGGGGCACACGCTCCAGGTCCTGGGCTGGGTTGCTGTTCTACATATGAGAGTGCAGGCAGCTCATAGGGCCGCAGTCCTAGAATAACTGCAGCCTGGATGGAGGTCTGGGTGGGAACTAAGGTAGGGGAAACTCACAGAGAAGCCTAGCTTTCGGAACTCTCGGACACAGAGAGACCGGCGTCGGTCAGCATTCAGTCCTGTGCCCAAGGACTCCCCTTCCGGTTCAAAGGCTGCCTGGCGCAGGGCCTGCAGCTGGTCCCGCTGCTCCTGAAGTTAATGGAAAGGGGCATGTCAAGATCAGAGATTCAAAGCAAAATCCTGGGTAACTCTCCAGCCTTTGTACCCCTTGCACCTGGCTGTAGGGATCAAGTGGTGTCCGCATCCGTGGCTCCAGCAGCCCCAGTGTGAGAGCCTGCAGCACATACAAGTGATGAGCCATCTCGTCTCCCATGGGTGCTGCACTGTGGATGATGTTCTGGAAGACAACCAGGCTTGAGGGAGACTCAGGGAAAGGAAAACTGGGGAGAGGGTCTCCCTGGCCTGGTCCATCCTACCTTGTAGATGAACTGGCGAAGATTCTTCTTCCATAGGTGGTCAAGCATTTCCTGCAGTGGGTCAGAAGGGGGTTTAGATGATTTCTTGCTCTAAGCTGGAGCACAGCACACACTAGCTGCTGTTCTTCATTTAGTCCCTGTGGACTCACCTTGCGTTCAGCGGGACTTGCCCCCTGCAGCAGGGCTGTCAGCAGTGCCATGGCCTTGGTTTGCAGCTGGTGGTTCATTCTATGGCAAGGGGAAGAGCGGGCTCAGCTATCCATCTGGAGTCCAGCACTACTTCTTCCCCTGTTCATACTGTACCCTAGAGGCTTACACCTGCAGGTGCACCAGCAGCCTATCTAGTGGCACCTCACTCTTCACCAGCTGGCCCAGGGCAGGGCTGCTCAAGGTCACACTCTCCAGGAGCCTGAGAGCCAGGGGCTGCACAGAAGCATCCATCAGGTTCATGTTCACATAAGATACTACCTGTAAGGGATAGAGGGACTCATTACCGTTCATGAGGGCTAGATGCTGGCACTGCTCCATTGCCCCTGGAAAAGGACACATACCTTCTTGACAAAGGGGATGCTGAGTGTCTCCCAGGACACTACACCGTGTTCCATGAGCTCCAAGAAAGCCCTTAGACCAAGGGCCAGCATCTCCCCTAGGCTACAGAGAACATCTGGGGATGAGTAGGATCAGAGCAAGATTTCCAAGCCCTACCACGTCCCCCAGTCCAGCTGGGCCCTGTGCTCACTCATCCCCATTTTCAATGATGGTGCTTAGTTTCTGAAGCCCATCACGACTGATGACCTCCTGGGCAAAGGTCATGTCTGAGGCCAGTAGGACCAGGTTTCTCAGGACTTCACAGCACCCTTCACGACTCGTATTCTGCAGCCTACCCAGGAGCTGCTGGGCCTTCAGATCCTGCCAGGTGCAGAAGAGGAAAGATGAAGCTAGAGTGTTACCCTAGTAACTGGACCTGTGATGGTCTGGGTGTCCACTAGGTGGGGCACTAAGGAGCTGGGGCCTCCAGACCAGCTACAGAGGGTACTAGGCAGTAAAGTTACCCAGCAGAGGGGTAGGAAAGGAGAGGGCTGGAGGGAGCATTACTGGGGCAGTGCTGAGGCACAGGATGCTTCCATTCTTGATCTCCAAGCGGTTCTGGAGGGAACAGCAGAAAGGAGCGCAGTTAAGGAGGGCTCTGTGAAATACTCACCGGGATCATTAATTTGTGGGGTGGGGATTGTCAGTAAAAGAGCTCGCGTTCAGAGCAGGGAGAATGAATACATGGAATCAAAGCCAGGTGGGTTAAAGGGATCCTGAGGAATGTGGGGCTAGGAGGAGGCTCACATTCTCTGTGATGTATTTCCTGTGCCCATCAGCAAACTGCAGGGCATAGTGCTCCGGGTGAGTCAGGGTCCACCTGTGGGGCAGGAAGCCGCTAGCAATGACTTCCAGGAGCGCCTTTCCCACCTGCCCCTCCCCCACCTTGCCCAGGCTTGCGGCACTTACGCGTCACACACCTCCTTCAGTACAGTGGCCAGGGGCTTTGCCTGCAAGTGGAGTTGTCACTCTAGGTGCGAGGGTAAGGAGTTGGGGTGAGGGACTTATGGGAGGGGCAGGCTGGGCTAGCCAGAGGGGAAAGGAATAACCCAGAAATGAGAGGCGGAGTTCAGACAGTCCCATTGACCTGGTCTAGCTGGATAAGCTGTGGGATGGCGTCAGACATCTGAACGGCAATCTTCACCACGTTCCGCGGGGGCGCCATAGTCCGTGGCCGCCCGCACTTGGCACTAATGTGCCACCTCCTCCCGCCGAGGATGGACCTGGTCTAGGGTCTAGAAGGACCTTCCTCTATCTAAAGCCTGGCTTCGGTGGCCTGCACTCACAGCTCAGGCTCCCACTCCTGATCGGGCTCCGAGGCCTGTTAGTTCCGGGTTAATCTCGGGTAGGAGGGTAGGAAGGTAGGACCTGGCCTGCCCTGACCTGCTCCGCCCCGTTGAAAAGGCCTGGCCCCGCCCCAAACCAAGGTGCAGCAGGTAGAAGCTGCGCTAGCAGTCTTCCAACACAGCGGCCTCACCTCCCATTCCAGCAAGGTGACCCACCCTGTCCCAACAACAATCCAGCAATCCCAGGGAGGGGCCCCAAAGAACCAGATCAGAGATAGCCTTAGGCATGTCTTTATTCACTTGAATGCTGTACAAATATTACAATTTCCTTTTGCTGAAAAAAGTATAAAAATAATCTTTATATAGGAATTCATTCGTTACTGTAAATCTTTCTAAATCTCTGCAATGGCTCTAAATGAGGGTAAGTGAATAAGTGGAAGTGAAGGGAGAATGGGGGGCAGGAGGTGGAGCCACTCTTCAGGTACCAACCCACCCAGACTCCTAGCTAGACACATCAATTCCTTCTTATTAACCCCCTCTGGCTACCCAGAGTTCCCAGGACTCAGAGCAGAGCCGAAAGGGGGCATGTGAGAGGTCCAGACACTGCAGGGTGAGCAGGTGGGAAGGAAGAGTGATTGCTGGCAACCACCCAGCTCCACCTCCTTTCTGAACCTCCTTCCTTTGTAGTGACTGGTAGGAAGAGGGCGGAAGTACCACTGAGTGGCAGCTGAGGCTGGCTGGGGAAGGCCCCAAGAAAAAGGCAAATGTTTTGGCTCCATGTAGAGGGCTAAGCTCTCTGCCCAGCTATGCTAGCACAGTTACAAGTGCCAGTGCAAGATGGGAGAGCACGGCCAGAACTGAGCAACCAGAAAAGGCTGAGTAAGCCAAGAGTTGGGCTCTTGGGGTCAGGGTGGGGATGGGGGACAGTCCCTAGTTGGTTCCCAGCCCAGACTGTCTGGGTTGCAGCTGCACAGGACATGCCCCGGTCAGTCAGAGTTTGAGAACAGGAACATCAAAGAGATCACAGACACCTTCACTCTCGTCCAGGTTGTAGATGTAATCGTGGTCTCCGGGAGGTGGAGAAAGTCGGAGGAGGGGGGCAAACACTGCAGAAAGCATTAGGCTGAGGTCTTAGGCCAAGACCCCCAGCAGTCACCCAACCCCTTGCTCACAGCTACCCTATCTTCCTGGACTACCCACCTTCTGAAGACATCAATTCTTCCAGCAGCTCGGAACTCATGCACTCTGGGAATGAACACAATTAATTCAGATTCTGGCTCTCGCCTCTCCACCCACCAAAGCCCAAGTATGAGACCCACACACGCCTATTAGAAGGAGGCTCACCCTTTGTCTAGGATACCCAGCACATATCCTTAGAAGGAAACCCAAAACTCAAAACTATGTTCCTTCTCCCTGCAGCCATTCAAGAGGAGGAACACAGCCTACCTCTCGTGGGGTCGAAGATTTCTGACAGCTCTTTGGGGAGATCCAGAACTGAAAGAGAAGAAAGCCAAGCTCAAGAAAGTTCAGCTGCCTATAGTTGTACTATAGTCCAGCTTTTTTCAGATCATATACCACCGAGCCCAGGGCTCTACACATTTCCTCAGGTGTTTTATCTGCTGACCTCCATTCTTCGGTGCTTAGCCAAGGCTGCCAAAGGTGCAGTGCAGGTGGCAAGTATAGCCATTCTAACTCAGAGGCTCTGCAGAACCCCCTTTCTGAGCCAGCAGTGCACACCTTCTCTAACAGAAGATGCTGCTTCTCATAACCACATCTAATTCCAGCTTCAGGGGGATCCAACGCTGCCTTCTGAGGTGCACTCACACACGGCATTTACACATACTTACACACTCTGTGGTGGTGGTGGGTGGGAAGGGGACAATGAGATAGCACAGTGAGTACAAGTGTTTGTCTGGAACACTGACACCCTTAAGGCCAATCCCTGGAACCCACATTAATGTGGAAGAATGCATATGCATAATCTCCACATCCCCAGTACTTTCTGTTGTTGCTGGTGACATGTCCTCAGACATGCTTAGCAAGCATGTTACCACCAAGCTGTATCCCCAGCTATATTTACACACTGAGAAATACCAATCAGGATTGCATTGCTGAAAGATCATTCCATTTGTGAGAATAAAGAAAAGGGCGGTTTAGTGGGTTTAACAAGCAGTAGACCATGCATGCATGCATGGCCCAATACCAACCTACCAGGCAAGATGTGTCTGCTGGTGCAGTAGTGGAACTTATGAGGGCGACCAATCCCTTTCTTTACTTGGCTTTGAGGCCAGCACCACAGGAAGTAATTCATGCCTGACAGTGTAAACCTTGTCAAAAGCCCATGGCTCGAGAGATCACTGACCCTAGGGAAGAGCTTACTGCTGCTGCTTTGCTAAATGAGCATATTATCAAACTGCCTCCTCAATTTTTATGCTTATATGTTGCTTAGAGAAAACGGCAGGAGTCAATGCAGAAACACATAACCGATAAATGGCTGAGGTTAGGTTGAGTGCTCAGCCCAAGGTTCAGGGATATTGCTAAGGAGGGTGAGAACGATCATACAAGCCATAGGATGGGGAGAGTGTTGGGAAATAATGTCTATCATGTTGGCTATAACATGGCCATTGTACGCGTGAACTCACAAGCATCTATGGTTACCTACACAAGAACAAGCCATCCAACTATGCTGACTGGGAAAGATGGAGTCCTTTTCTTTGGATCTGTGCATACATGTAGCGCTAATTAGAACGACGAGAGCATGAGAATGGAAGCGGAAGTACTAGGAGGGCAAAGGGAGTCATTTTGTAAATGGTCAAAATATAGAGAGTTGGCTGTGGCACAGAGCTTCTACTCCCACGATTCAGGAGGCAGAGTCCAGCCTGGTCTACATAGCAAGTTCCAAGACAGCGACAGCTACATAGAGACCCTGTCTCAAAAAGACAATTAAAAAAAAAAAAATCACTGCATAGATACATGAAATTACCGATAGCTAGATTAGAGAGGTAAGATATAGAAATATAAAATATTCTAAAGGATGACTATAAATGTAAAATTAAAATAGCATCTAGTTTTCTGGTGTGCTGAAGAAGTAAAAGGGATGAGAAGAGATGATTCAGAGATTTGACTTAACCCATGTAAGGTGAGTATAAGGGGGGTCCAGAACTGAGATGATACAGAGCTGTCTCAAGCCTGGAGGCAACTAGAGCCAGCTGACAAGAGTCCACACAGAACTCGAAAGGCAAACTGGAAGCAGGATAAGTTCAGTTGAGATGCCCACCAGAGATGTAGAAGACAGATGCAAGATAGGAGACTGGGTAAAGACCTAGACTGTGCAGAGGCTGAAGCCCATTCTCAGCTCCCTAGAGATAAGGCCCACCTCAGATATAAAATCCTAAGTACCAATGTGTACGGAAGTGTCAGATGCCAGTGAGGCAGAAAAGCCAAGACTGACAGTAAAGAGAAAGGAGGAAAGAGCATCAGCAGAGACCAAGACAGCACCAGACCCAGACCTTAGGGACCTGCTGCGCCAGGCACTACATCACCACCAGCAGAGCTACGGTGGGTGATTAGCTGACAGACAGGAGCAGAACTCCAATTTCTTTCTTTTCTTTTTTCCCGAGACAGGGTTTCTCTGTATAGCCCTGGCTGTCCTGGAACTCACTCTGTAGACCAGGCTGGCCTACGAACTCAGAAATCCACCTGCCTCTGCCTCCCAAGTGCTGCGCCACCACAGCCCGGCTCCAATTTCTTTTAAAAGCATCCATACATAGCAATGAAAACAGAATGGCGAGGTGAGTACAAAGAGTACCAAATCTCAGTGAGGCTCAGTGACGCTCCAAGTGGAGGCAGGAGGGAACGAAGTCCCAGGAAGGAGCAAGAGGCACCAGCACTGACCCTGAGATCAGGCATCCTTGTCTGGCTGGCAGAGAGCAGAGGCTAGCAGGAAAGTGTGTGTGAGATACAACCCTGGGCTGGGCTAGACCTCCCCCTGCTGGCCCCACCCCTCAGTAAGTACTCACCACCTGTGGGGTCTGCCTTGATGGGCTCAAAGGAGGTAGAAGGGTTGGGTCCAGATGAACTGCTGCTGCTGCTGCTACTGCTACTACTACTGCTGCTATCCAGTAGTGCAGAGGACTGCAGAGGCCGAGTGTCCAGTGCTGTCAGGCCCAGTGGGAATGAGCTGAGTTCATCACTGTCCTTGTTCTCAGTTCCAGGGCTGCCACTCACTGCAACCACATCCCCAAACCCAATCACACGGAGTCAGGAAATGGATTCTACAGTTGCCACAGGCTAGATCCTGTGGCCAAGATGACCACAGTGCTGGTAACCAAACCCAAGGAGACTTAGCCACCACTAATTACCAAGAAGCACCAAAAAAGGCCATTAAAAATGGAGCACAAGTCCTGGAGTAGGGAGACTCACGGGGTTGCCAGGATCCATCAGACACTGTCCAATTTGGGAAAAACCGCCCTACTTATGCTGCCTATATAGTCAAAGCTTGTTAGAAAGGGCATACTCAGAGCGAGTGAGAGCCTAGTGAATAAAGACACTCCTGGACAAACCCAATGACCAGAGTTCAAATCCCAGAGATATAAAAGCAGAGAACCAATTCTTTCAAGTTGTCATCTGACCTCCTCTGACCTCTACATGTATCCTGTGGCATGCTTCCCCTCACAAATAAGTGGAAAGAGTAATTTAAAGGGGCACACTCACTGTAACACCAAGGAAAGCTAAGTGGGGACCCCAGGAATGTCTTCTAATTTTTAGTACAGCATGCCATCACACAGATAGTTTCTTGTGGGCTCAAAAAAGAAAAAAAAAAGTCACACCTTACCATAGTGTCTCACCTGCAATCTCAGCTGTCTGGCCTGCCACCTCTGAGACTTGAGTGCTGCCCAGGACAGGCGTGGGAGTGGTCGGCTGGGGGCTGCTTGGACGAGAGGTTTCCTGGGGCTGAGCTAAGGCAGGTGTGGGCAGAGGTGGAGGTGTGGAAACAGCAGGTGGACTCTGGAGTAGCTCGTCAGGGGGCGGTACGGGCACAGCCACTGGAGGTGAGCTCCAGGCCTCCTTGTTCACCAGCAGCACCTCGATAGGCCCGCTCACACTCTTGAGGTGGATCTGGTACTTCTTCTGACCATTGAGACCCTGGGAACAAGCAAAATTGCAAGCGGGCATGGATAGTTCCTGCCTGACTGGCTCAGAGCCAGACTGTCCTCCTCCTCATCTGCCAATCCACCTAGATAACCCCAAACTCAGGCCTCCCCTACCTGCTCCACCCAGAACTTATCAAGCTTCACAGCCAGTACCCACCCTCAGTTGACACCGCCTTCCAGGGATGCGCACCTACCTCTGGGATGGGCACCTCTAGGCTGGTGCCCGATGGGGCCCGGATGGCAAGGAGGGTATCTCCTAGAATGACAAGGAGGATGTGTCAGGGCCCATGAGCTCAATCTGAGTTGGAGAGGAAGTGTCTGTTCCTTTCCTGTCTTGTCTGGCGCAAGGCAAGTGATCAGAGTGTCTAAGACTGACTATGAAGTCTCTACCGTCCTAGAGCCCTGGGTAGAGCAAAATTCTTCTCTCTGCAAAACCTCATGTTCAGTAACCAGAAAAACTAGGTGCAAACACGCTTCTTTCTTCTTTTTGAGGCAGGGTATTTTTATGTAGCCTTGGCTGTCCTGGAACTTGAAACGTAGAACAGGTTAACCTCAAACTCAAAGATCTGCCCTCCTCTGCCTCACAAGTGCTGGGATTAAATGTAATGTTATATTCTGGAATGAGGTCAGCCACAGGTACCACCAGCTCACTCCTCAAATGATGCTGATCCCTAGAAACAGATGCTCTGACCAAGTTTTTCCAAGACACAAGATGGAACAGTTCCTACATACACAATGGAACTAAGTACAAATTGGAAACGGACACCACCGACTCCTGCATACAAGTATGTAAGACTGTGCACACAAATAGACATGTACAAATTCTCTTTTCTCCTGTGCCACTATCATGCCCAAGAACTGAACCCAGAGAACACTGCTGATGAGGGCAAACCCAGGGACACACTGGGGACTCTTGTATCCCACAGAGTCCCAGTGACTTCCAAACTGAGACTTGCTGCCTGGATTCTCTTTAAGCAGGCATCACAAACCTTCAAGAGCTGGAACTTCTTCTGGGGCAGTGGACCTCATGCTTGGGGCGCCATGGCTTAGCTCAGTCCCACTCACATCTCCCTCCACCCAGGCTCTGCTCACCTGCAAAGCATCTGCAGATGTCTTCATGTGTCACGTAGGCCAAGGTGTGGGGGTTAAGGAGAGCAGCTGATGCCTTTATGGTGCCAGATGACAGACCACAGAAGAGACCCAGGGTTTTAACCTATGCCTGCCACACGGTCCTTAGAGGAAGCTCTGGATCCTGGGGTCTAAGTGGGTAAGGATCTTGAGCTAAGACTGGAAGAGACCAGAGCCTCACGTCTGAATCTGATCGGGGGAGGGGGAGGGGTGTGTGCGTGCAGGATCATTTTTTCAAGAGGTACAGGGCCCAGAGCTCCACAGAACAAAACCAGCTGAGAGCCCCTTGCCCACTCCCCAGGGCAGGGACTCCCGGAGGATATCAGCTGTTCTGGACGTCCTCTGTGACATTTCGGATGCTCTGCTGCACCCACACCTTGTGCTGGTCAAGTTCTTGCTCCCGCTGCTGAAGCTCCTCGATCTCTGCCTTGAGCTCAATCAGCTTGTCGGCAATCTCCCGGGTATTGCAACCTGGCCCGACACCCCTGAAGCACACAGGACTGAGAGACTGAGCGGGACCCATAAGAACTCTGGGTCCCAGACCTCTGCTGTCTCCTATAACCCTCATCCCACACCCCCGGCACTTCCGCCCTCCCAAGCATCCCTACTCACTTCCACTGGATGCTGTTCTTGGATTTTTTCTCGATCAGACCAATGCCTTCCAACACGTTGGTGATGTCGTAAATCCGCCGTTTCTGGCGCACAGCAAGAGTGTCGGCTGCCTGGCAGGTAGAAGAGAATGGAGAATGCTAGCCCCACTCTTAAGTGTGCACCCTGTTACATTTAGTCTGGAATGGGGATAGTCTTGTGTCTCAACCCTGGAGTCCCTTCCAATCACTCCAGGAGTGTGTTGGGAAGAGTCTTGGCTCAGTTGTGTTCTGATATTCTGATGCTCGTTTCCCTGTACTAGTCACGAAGGGCCACGAGGGCCAGCACCTGCAGCCCGGACCCAGAGCTGAGGCTCAATGGCTTCAGTGAAGGAAAACAACCTCCCGCCTCGCTCGTGTGAGAAAGCACACTGATGGCGGCCGGAGGACGCAGTGGGGCCGCCCCGCTGGTTCCCGCTACTGGTCCAGGCCTGGCCCACCATCTCCCCTCGGCCCGGACCGCACCAGCTTGAGGTCAAGCACGCCGTCCTTGGCTTCCTGCAGTAGCGACACGAACTTGGTGGTGAGAAGTCCCAGGCTCTTCTCGTGCCGGCTAGGAGTACCCGGGGGCGGCGGCGCCTGTGGCCCGGCCTCCGCCATCGCGCCCGCCCGCCCGCCACCTCCCCTCAGCCAGGCCAGGCCAGGCCGGCGGCGGCGCCACTTCCGCTTCCGTTCCTAGTCGCCGGGCCACCGGCGCTATCACTGCTGCTTCCGCTTCCGTCTCGCGCCTTCCCAGGGTATCTGGTGCAATTCCTGTCTGCAGATCCAGACGCAAAACTTCGGGGACCGTCGGCAAATGTATCATTAGCAAAAGAAACGAAAGTAACTCCTTAGGACAGCTAGGAAACTTGAAAAATTGTATAGTAGGAAATGGAGGTTAGTGAGCAGTGCTGGCAGTTGAAAAGAGGGAAACACCCGAATCTTCCTTGCTAACTTACTAACTTGCAGACTACAAACTGGCTGAACACTCCATCTAGGGAAGGGAAGCCATAAGCCACAAGCTTAATCTATTTGCTTGAAATGGTCCTAAAGGCTTCCCTGCTGTTCTGAGATAATTCCTTTTGTTCCTGCTACTTCCTGCCAAAACAGCAAGCACTAACAATAAATAGCTTGCATACTTCTTTCTCTACTCTTATTTCGTTCCAGCATCATTTTTCTCTGGCCTCCCGGCTACTACTAACAGTTCACAGTGGCCTGGAGTCTTATTTCCAACCACTACTTAGTCCACGCAAAGGTATTTGCCTATGTGTGAATATAAGCGAAGCCTTTGAGGCACTTTCTGACATATGGGAAGAACTGTGTGTTTGCAAGTCTCATTTATTTTTCAATTTTTAAAGGTTTATATTATTATTATGTGTGTATGTGTTTATGTTTGTGTACATATGTGCAGGTGCTCAGGGAGGTTTAGAAGAGGGTGTCAGATCTCTGGAATCTGAAGTTAACTAGCAATTATTAGCTGCCATGTAGGTGTTAGGAACTGAAGGCCTGGCCTTTGCAAGACGAGCAAGTGCTTTTTGTTTGTTTGGTTGGTTTGGTTTGGTTTTTCGAGACAGGGTTTCTCTGTGTAGCCCTGGCTGTCCTGGAACTCACTCTGTAGATCAGGCTGGGCTCGAACTTAGAAATCCACCTGCCTCTGCCTCTCAAGTGCTGGGATTAAAGGCGTGCGACACCACTGCCGGCTGAGCAAGTGCTCTTAACCTCTGAGCCACCTTGCCAGTTGGCAAGTCTTAGTTATCTTTAATATTGTTATCACTCAGCCGGGCAGTGGTGGCGCACGCCTTTAATCCCAGCACTTGGGAGGCAGAGGCAGGGGGATTTCTGAGTTCGAGAGTTCGAGGCTAGCCTGGTCTACAGAGTGAGTTCCAGGACAGCCAGGGCTACACAGAGAAACCCTGTCTCAAACAAAATAAAACATTGTTATCACTCATGGTTACGTCTTTACGATGGTCAGTTCCTCTTTGACACAAATTGCCTTCCGCAAGCACACTTGTAAGAGAGTAAAACAGGCAGAATTTGGAAGATCTAGTTATAATGGAGCCTGAAATTGGGGTAGTCTTCCTGAAGTATTCATGGTCAGCAAGGATACTTACTTGGGCCTCGGTACATCAATATGGACTCAGAACTTTAGCTGTCAACCCTCAGCAGCCTACACTTGTAGCAGTCAGGAGATGAGGGTCTATTCTGATGAGACGTGTGCTCCATCATTGTCATCTGTCCTCAGTGGCTCCACATCACTTACAGGAACAGTACAGCTTCCACCATCGCTGACTGCCACCCCCCACTCGCTATACTTTCCCCTCACCACAGGTGAGCTTTCCTCCCTCCACAGGTGAGCTTTCCTCTATTAAGGTATATAGCAGCAGTGGTTCTCAGATTCTCACGTTGTTTGCAGCAGCTCCAACACACCGGGGTCATCCTTCAAGCCAGCTTGAGGCCAAATCAGCTTTAAATGTGCATATGCATTTCCTGAGCACTTAAAAGTCTTAGGTGGGCTGATCAACACTTGGTGATCACGGGGAGTCCAAGGCTACCCCCACCCAACAGGAAGTGGTGCCCAGCTCTCCCCCATCTCAGTGCAGATGCTTTTCCTGTTGGGAATACAGTGCCAGAGACTCAACTTCCTTCCTTTCTGCTATGAAGAGGGAGGGGCCTTGGGGAGAAGAAGGGGCTTCTGGGCTGTGAAGTGGGAGAGAGGCTTCCTTGGGGAGAGGAATTTGGCTGCTGGTGCCAAAGGAACTGGAGTCCCTCGGGTCCCGTGAGCAGTGAGGGTGTGTCCAGCTCTGCAGGAGAGAAAAGGCTATTCTCAAGGCCAAGGCCACTTGCAGAGGAGGGAGAACTGGATACCGGTCAGATCTGGTAAGTTCTGTACAAAACTGTCCTGGGCATTACGGAGCAGGAAAGGGGACTTACAGTTATGTCTATTTGCATAGTACAACCCAGAACCCCAGAGGGCCGAGGCTTCCCAGGTATCCCCTTCTGTCTTCCCTCTCTCTTGCTGGGGCTAGGCAAGAACCTTGCTCATTTTTCTCAGCTGAGCCAAAGGAACATCCACTCTGCCTGAGCTATTCCAGGCTCTCACCCCGACTCCTACCTCATCTGCAGCACCTCGAGGCACACCATGGACTCAGCAGCCAAGGACAAAATACAGCCCCCACTTCTTCCTGGTATGAGCCTTGCTGGCTGGGCTTGGGGAAGGATGATGTCCAGACAAATGGAAATGGTGGGGTTGGGTTTTCCTGTCAGGTCTAGCTAGAACTCTATAGGATTGTGAAGAGTAAGCTGTCCTGAGGAAACAGAAGGGCAGCAGGTTTGTTAGCCACAGGCTCTCCCTGACTGACACAACCACCCAGGCTCTTCCTGCCAAAGGCCTGAGTGGCCAGAGCAGGAGAGGGCCGAACAGCTGGCTCGGGGTGCAGCACTCAAGTGGGCTTCAGGCATCTTCTACCGGCCGGAACAGCTGACCAGGCTGGGTCAGTACAGAAGCCGTGAAATACAGCGTAACTACTCCCTGGAGGCACGGATTAAGGTGGGTAACGAGCAGTAGTGTTAGAGTGGGCTGTAGGGCTGGCCAGGCCTTACTAACTACCTCTCTCCACAGTCAGTGGTGCAGTCATACCTGGAAGGTGTGCAGACTGGTGTGTGGCAGCTGACCCGAGCCCTCGAGGCTGTGCAGGGAACACGTGAAGCCCTGAGCCAGGCCCATCACTTACTCCAGGGTTTGTCTCGGACCTCACAAACCCTGGAACCCCTGAGGGAATGTGTTGTCCAGCATAAACAACTCCAGATCCTGACTCAGTTGTTGCCAAGGTTACAGGCAGGTGAGTGGGGGGCGGAGACGTGTGGGGAGGATGGAGATGGAGACCCCTGGTCTTTAGCATCTAATAATCCACAAACAGCCATACTGATCAGCAGCTGGGACACTAGGCAAGGGATTACATGAAGAGATACACCAGGGACATCCCGGAGAATAATCTCAGCTTCAAAGAATGTAAGAAATAGGCACAATCACCTCATCCTGCGGTTCTCAAGCTTGAGATGTTAAAGTCAGCATGGAGATTCCATTGAATGGCTGTGGCCATAGTAGTTTACATAGTTTACATACGGAAAGAGCATTAGCTGTAGCTCTGGTAGAGCATGTGCTTAGTATGTGCAAGGCCCTAAATTCAACCCCAGGTATCACCCCAAATAACGTGTGTATACAACATACGATACATACCTACATTCATCCATCCATGTATCAATATATATGCATATACATACCAATATATATGTAGCTATGTTTGTAAGTATTTTGTAACAAGATAGATGAATAGCAACCTTCATGGTCTCTAATAATTTATTTTGTCTGCCTGTAACATTTTTTAAGATTACTTTAAGTGAATGTTTAAGTGCCTGAATGTATACCACGTTGAGTGCCTGGTACATACAGGGGGCAGAAGAGGACTTTGCTCCCCTGGAACTGGAGTTACAGGCAGTTGTGAGCTGCCACATGGGTGCTGGGAATCACAGCTGGTGCTTATAACCACTGAGCCATCCATCTCTCCAGTCTGCCACCCACCCTTCCCGGCAAGCTTGATTTCATGTTGTTGGTTCAGGGGTTGACATATAGCCCAACTCTAGGCCTTAGCCTGGGTGTTCAGATTAATCGATACTTTACCATGTTTAGTATGAAATAGTTAATACACGACACTAGTCTCCAGACCTCAGTGTCCTTTGCTGTACCCATAGCACAGGTGGGAAAGCTGAGACCTCAAGCCATCTCCTTTCTTTCTTAGTGCCGGCTGCAGTGGCCCACACGCAGACCCTGATAGATGCTCAGCGATTCTTGGAAGCATATGTGAGCCTGCGGGAGCTAGAGCAGCTGCGAGAGGAGACGTGGACACCCCTAGGGGGGTTGGAGTTGCCAATCTTCCAGGGGCTAGGCCTTCTGGCTGAGGCCCTGGGCCAAGCTGTGGAGGCAGCTGCAGGAGCTGCAGGGCGGCTGGCACGTGAGGACCCAGCCCTGCTGGTAGCTGCTATTCGTGTGGCAGAGGTAGAGACTGAGCGCACAATCCTGGGGCAGGCACCCCGAGATTGGCGGCAGCGATGTCGTCGGGCACTCCAGGAGGGCCTGGAGCGGGTCCACTTTCCATTGTCTGTGCTTCCCGAGCCAGGGGCCCTGTCAGGGTGGCTTGAGGCTCTGCAGGTAGCCTTGCCTGCTGAGTTGGCAACAGCTGAGGCACTGGTGGCACCCTGCTGCCCACCAAGCTACCACGTGGTTCAGCTGTGGGCCCACACCCTGCACGGTGGCCTGCGCCGTAGCGTGCAGCAACTCCTTGCGGGGCCTGAGCTAGGAGCTGCTGACACCTTTGCCTTGCTGCACTGGGCTCTGCATGTGTACATGGGGTGAGTGTCCTTGGGGAAGCGGGAAGTGGGGAGAGAGGCTCAGTATGACATCTTGCTATCCATCTCTAGGAAGGAAATGATGGGGGACTTGGAACTGGGGCCTGAGGCTGATGTGTCCCAGCTAGAGCCCCTCTTGACCTCAGAGAACGTCGAGCAGCTGGAGACAGCATTTGTGGCTCAGGTCCAGGTGACTAGAGACTGTCTAGTTGTCTGTTGAATGTCTTGTCAATGCCCTGATATGTCTTGCCGCTCCTTACTCTTTCCTGCCAGGTAAGTGTGGCTCAGTGGCTGAAGAAGGCACTAGATGGGGAGGTAGCTGAATGGAGCAGGGAGCAGGAGCCCACCACAGATCCATCCGGTTTCTACCACTCACCAATGCCAGCCATTGTACTGCAGGTAGGTGGGAGGAGCCCAGGGAAGTGGGCAGCTCACATGTGGAAAGGAGAGATGGGCAGGTCTAGGAAACGTCTAAAGGCTGCTCTTCTCTGCTTGTAGATCCTGGCTGAAAACATTCAAGTGGCCACCCTGATTAGTGACTCATTGCATCGGCGGGTGCATGACATGGCAGTGTCAGAACTGGGCGCATTCTTGAGAAGGTTTGTCAAGCAGGGGAACCCATCTAGAATCTCCAGCCCTGCTCCCAGATAGCCAAAGGGCTCTTAGTGAACAGGACACACCAGTGTGTGTGTGTGTGTGTGTGTGTGTGTGTGTGTGTGTGTGTGTGTGTGTTTGGGGGGTTCCTTTAAACAAATACTTGAAAGTGAGACAAGAGTTCTGGGGGTGCAGCTGTGGGGGTGCCAGATTGGCAGCAAACTCAAGAGGCTCCCCTGCCCGTTGCAGCTTCAGTGATGCTCTGATCCGATTCTCTCGAGACCATCTCAGGGGAGAAGCTGTGGCCCCTCACTATGTGTCCTACCTACTGGCTGCCTTCAACCACCAATCAGCACTGAGGTACCACACTTTCACTAACACCCTTCTGTGTTTCTGTAAAGCATGGGTGCCACCCACACCAGAACCACTTCGGGCTCACAAAGGGGGTTTCAGTCCTCGATCTGCTAATTGCCAGTTGTATCACAAGGTACCTGTCACTTTTCTTACTAGTATTACTTGGGTAACAATAAAATAATCAGAAAATCATATTAGATAAAGATGTTAAATCTACTACTTTTTTTTTTCAGCAAATGTTTATCAAAGCTCTACTCTGTATCAGACGTCTGACGTTACAGCTAGGAACAAGAAATTTTTCCTCCCACTCTTCTTCTTGCTTTGAAACAAGACTTGCAGTCTAGTCCAGGCTAGACTCAAACTGGTAGCAATGTTCTTTCTTCAGCCTCCACCAGGCCTGGCTATCTTGAGTGTTATGTTCTTGGTGATGGGCACAGAGAGGACAGACATACAAGCCGAGAATTTTTACTCTTATCTTGACTAAGATTAGCTCCCCTCTAAAACAAAATAAAAGGAAGAATAACTTAACTCGAGGTTACATTAGAGGCAAGTCCGCTGGGCATACTCTTCCTAGCCTTACAGAATACCTGAGCCCTTCATAAATTCAGAGCCGCCCTTCCCGCCCCCGCTCGCACCAGACACTGCACCACAAGGTGGCGCCAGAATGGATGAATCCTAGAGGGCCATGCGAGCCTTGGCCTTGGTCCTGAAGTCGCACTTTTTGGTCCAGATCTTCGGTCTCCGTCCTGCTGCCCGACGGGGAAGCTTCCGGGGTCTTAACTCCAGTGGAAGCCGCGCTGGACGATGTACAGAGGCGGGTCTGCTGCCTGGTTTTGGAAGTACTGCAGGTTGAGCTCCAGGTGAGGTTGCCATCCCAGTCTGGATTGGTAGTGTGAGGGGGAGACACGATATATTTATGGTGGTCTCTACGGGATCCAGATCATTTCCCTAGCCCCGTCTGTGTTATGCTTTCCCTATAGCCCCTGTTCGCTGCTCTGCCCTCGCGCCGGTGGCTATTGAGTTCTGAGTTGCTGGATGGCGTATGTGAGCACACATCGCACTTCTGCCAGGACTTCCGGCGCGTACGGAAGCCTGCTGTTCAGGTGGGTCGGGGAGAGGAAAGCTGGGGAAGGGGCAGTACTGGTGGGACCCTGCAATCAAACTGGTTACTGTCCTGAAGCTGCTGCTGGCGGAGGCGGAACGAACCGTGGTGTTGCAATACCTAAGGGCGCTGATGCAGGGTCGCCTAGTGTGCCGCGGTGCGGACGAGCGGAGCCAGGCGGCTGAGCGCCTGCGGCACGATGCTGCCCAGCTTAAAGAGCTTTTCCTTGGTTTGGTGAGAGTTCGTTGGGAGGGCAGACAGTCGGGAACCTCTGTAGTCGGGTGGGAGCCGAGGGACGGCTGGAAACCCTGCTCCCACGTGTTCAGGGCCTGGAGGAGAGCGTTCACTGCGCGCCCGTCCTGCTTGCGCTGAGGGAACTGCTCAACCTCCACGACCCCACACTGCTTGGCCTCGAGGTGGCAGGCCTGAGACAACAATTTCCCGACGTGAGGTGCGAGGAAGGGGACAGGGGAGGAGCAACCCTGGAGGACCGAGGGCTGGGCTGACGTACGTGGTGGTATTCCTGCAGCGAGGATCACGTCTCTGCCCTCTTGGACCTGCGCGGGGACGTGTCCCGAGAGCATCGTCAGGCAGCACTCAGTTCGCTGCAGGCCGGTCCACCGCCTTCACCCTCCACTGGCCGCCGGGCACTCTTCAGCCTGGTACCGACGCCTACGCCCTCTCTGTCCTCCTGCCTCCCCTCGGGTCCCTGCTCCTGACACCCATCTGTTTGCGTAATAAAGCCACGTCTACCGCACGTCTGAATCTATGTGTTGGGGCGCGCCGGTGAAACCAGCGGTGAAATTAGGGGTCTGTGCACGGTGGTACATCTAAGCCTGCTGAAGTTCTAGTATTCTGGCAGCATCTCGCCTATGCAAACATCCGCTGTCTTTGTGGACTGTGTCCCGCGAACCCTGGGCTCCCGTGGAGTACTCAGTTGCTACGTATTTACTACTACCGGCAGGCAGTAAAGGGTTTGTTTCACCGCCCTCGCCAGTCGCTTTAGAAGCCCGGAAATTTGTGACGGGTGAAGTCTAGGACCAGACCCGGCCCAGGGGCGTGGCGTGGCAGTGAATCCCGCCCTCTTCGCACGCCTGGCCCCGCCCACTGGGAGCTTAAGCACGCCCTACGGCGGAGACGGACGTGGCCCCTGCGTCTTCGTGTGAGCGTGCGCGCGCCCGAGTGCGCGTGTCTTTGGCGCGGGCTCCCGTGGTCTCGGCGGCCAGCGATCGGCTTTGAAGAGCAGGAACTGCGGACAGCAAAAGAGGCGTGATCAGGTGGGGGCGCGGCACGCGGACCGAACCCCTATCCCTCTCCAAAAACCTAGACTAAATACAACTAAGACTTGATCCTTCTTGATTTACCAGAGAATTCCCCCCAGTCCATTGTCCTCTAGCCCCGCCCTCCATTGGGCACGCCCTTCACCTTATCCCACGCCCTTTATTTGTCTTCAGGGCACGCCCTCCCAGATATCTCGGTTCCTATTGGTTGTTTTCCCACGTTATCTCTTTCCAGGGGTTCTTATTGGTGTGGGCCACACCCTCTCATTTGTCACCAGACCCCGCCTTCAGCAGTCAGGGACTCCAGCCTCACCCTGAATTCATTCATTCTGCGACTAGTGAGTGCATGGGACGTGAGGGTGAATCAGACACTCTCTGACCTCGGGGAGTTCAGGGCACGGTGGGGAAATATGGATCTAGCCTCCAACCATAACGGCCTAGAGCTGTCAAGAAGCCATCAAGACCCTGGGACCCTTTACACATCGGGAAGGCTTCCCAGAGAAAGTAAGGCCTAAACCGGGCCCTGAAAAATGGTTAAGAGGTTGCTCCAGGGACACATTGGCAAAAGAATTCTTGGCAGAAGAACCTGAGACCTGAAAGAAACAGGTGAATTCTGGTAATTCCGAGGAGGTAGGTGGAATGGATGAAGGGGAAATGGAGAGCTGGCCCATAGAGTGGTCAGTAGACATCCAGAAAAGTATACAATTTGAGGGTGAACGAGATCTGAGACTAGAAGTCGTATTTTTTAAGCAGCTGATCGTTTGGTAAGGTGGAGAAAGACTCCAAGGAGGATGATCAGGTCTAGACGGGGAATTTAAGTTTGGGAAAACTAATGATTCTAGTTTTTTTCTTTAAAGGTTTATTTTTATTTTTTTATTTCTGAGTGTGGATATGTTCATGTGCCTGTGAAGGCCAGAAGAGGGCATTGGGGCTCCTGCAGCTGGACTTATCGGCAGTTGTGAATTGTCCTGCATGGACACTAGGAACTGGATTTGGGTCCTCAGGGAGAACAGCAAGTGCTCTTAATTGTTGAGCCATCTGTCCAGCTCCATGATTCCAGTTCTTACAAGGACTTCAGAGGCAACAACTGCTACAGGAGAAACTTAGTTCCAGGAGATCGAGGAGGTTTACTCTTTTGTAAAGATTTGCTAGCGCTGACTTTCTTTCACTCTTTCTTTTCTTCTCTTTTTAAAGCTTTTAAAGACAGACATTGCTATGCAGCCAGGTTGGCCTGGAATTCACAATTCTCTTGTTTCAGCCTCGAGTGGTAGGATTATAGACATGTACCGCTACATCTGACAGAGGGCAGCTTTTCTTCTGTCTTTATTTTTTTATCTTTATTTTTTTATTGAAACACTTCCATATATTCTGATGTTTTTATCCTCCCCCAAACTCCTCCCAGACCCTCTCCACCCCCCCCCACTCAATCAACTCCCAACTTCTTGCTTCTTGTCTCCCCTGCCCCCCTCTCTTGTGGTGTGTATTTGTGTGTGTGTGTCCAGACCCTCTCCACCCCCCCAATCAACTCCCAACTTCTTGCTTCTTGTCTCCCCTGCCCCCCTCTCTTGTGGTGTGTATTTGTGTGTGTGTGTTTGGGGCATCTTTTCTAATATTATGATATTTTTGTAGATTTTTTTTTTGTTTTTTCGAGACAGGGTTTCTCTGTGTAGCCCTGGTTGTCCTGAAACTCACTCTGTAGACCAGGCTAGGCTCGAACTCTCAAACTCAGAAATCCGCCTGTCTCTGCCTCCCAAGTGCTGGGATTAAAGGCGTGCGCCACCACCGCCCGGCTTTTTTGTAGATTTTTAAGAAAGTGGCAAGTGACCCATGCTGTTCTATGGAGGGGGGGTACATTTTTATACAATGGGCATGTTCCGTTGAAAGTACCTATTAAATACTAAAGATATCTTGAAGATTAGGTATGTTGGCTTAATCCTGACCAAAGACAAGTGAGGTTGAAGCAGGAAGATTGTGAGTTGAAGGCCACATGGGCTACATAGGGATACTCTGTCTGAAACAAAATTAGTTATGTATGAAAAGTGTTCATCATAGTCTAAAGGGAGAAGGCTAAGGTGACTTATTTAAAACCATGATAGTGAAGGCTGGGAATTTAGGCCAGTGGGAGAGGGTATACTTAATGTGTACAAGACCCTGGGTTTGATCCCCTGCATTAAAACAAAACAGGAAGGACTGGAGAGATGGCTCAGTGGTTAAGAGCACTGACTGATCTCTCAGAGGTCCTGAGTTCAGTTCCTAGCAACCACATGGTGGCTCACAACCATCTGTGATGGGCTCCAATGTAGCTGAAGATAGCTACAGTGTACTCATATACATAAAATAAATAATTCTTTAAAAAAAAAACCAACAGCAACAACAAAACAAGAGACCACAAAATTGGATGGAATCATAGGCCGCTAGGGGGGTGTGAGTATGAATGGAAAAGAGAAGTTGCCATAAACAAGTCTTGGGATATTACAGTGTTAAGAGGTTGATATTACAAGGAAGACCAAGAAGAAATAGCCAGTGATGTGGGTGGATAAGGAAGTTCTAGTGTGTTCGAAAAGGGAGACGGGCATTATGTTCCCAGGCTAAAAGGATCAACTGCACCAGGTGCTACAGATCTGTACCATGACCACTAGTGACCTTGGGCAGCTCAGTTTGACGGACAGCAGGATATATGCATCCTCAGTGGCAGTGTGGGAAGCAGAACTTAGGAGCGAACAGGAAAGAAGAAAAGGGAGACGGTGTGTGTGACTCCTGGTATTGTGCTGAGCAGAGAGCAGCTGCAGGTAGTTAGGCTTGGATTCGCAGAAAGGTCTTGTTTTGTTTTTAAGATGGAGGAACAACAGCATGTGTTTCTGCTGATGGAAAGAATTCAATTGCCAGAAAGACTGGTGATATAGGATCAAGGAGAAAGGCTGGAATTGAGTTCCTGAGCAGGCAAGGGGGTTCAGAGGCTGACAACAGTCTGTTTCTGGGGAGAGAGAGTGGATTGCACTGAGCCTTGGCACAGAGTCAGGGATGAGTTCTCTGGCAGTGGCCTTGGATGCCCACTGGGAAAGATACCTCAGATAGTTGACAGGCCAGGGGCTGGTTTGAATGTTCTGGTTTTCCTCTGCTTCCCAAAAGCAGATTCTAATTCCATCCTGAACCGGTGATCAATGGGAGAGAGAGAGAGTACTTCATGTGGGGACTGGCCTGAATAAGTGCACTCATTCAAACTGTTTGATTACCAGTGGGCAGGAGGATGTAAATTGACTACGCAGAGGGGGAGGTGAGTCTGAGAAGATGCCATCTGTACAAAGCAGATTGTGGGCTTCTCTCACCTGTGGTCCACCTAGGGATCTGAGGCTGTATTCTGCCAACTCCCAGACTGGTTAACTGCTAAACACTGAAATTAGAACCATGTTTAAGGCCTTAGTTTTAGCTCTAGATCGAACCGTCAGAGAGAATTCTAATAAATAGGAAAATGTATACAGTTCGTTCTTTGCTTTGCTCCACCTCAGACTGTTTGGGTAAAGCCTGGTGGAAGGAATGGACACTGGGGAGGGCGGAGTGTTTCTTGGGTTCCTGGCAGCAGACTGTGGACTCATCAAGGATAACATGGGGCAGGGGGCGTTCTCCTCTGACCACATGCACTCATGCTGGTCTCTGCATGCCGTTCTGTGTCCCTAGAGGTCAACAGTCTGGGAAGTTGGCACGACAGAGCTGGATGTGACCCTCAGGAGAGAATGGTGCTGGACTCGGGGACTCAGGTGTATGAGCAGGCACCCCCCAGCCCACCTACCGGTTCCCCATCTCAGCACCATAAGCTGAAGCCCTCAGACCGAAATGGGCCACCCCTGTACCCCTGGCCTCAGTCCCTGGCTATGCCCTTGGCTCTGGCAGTTCCCTCAGCACTGCAGCAGCAGACTATGTGGCAGACCTTCTCAAAGCTTCACTTGGAACAGCGTAGCCACATGCGGCGCAGCGAGAGCACCTACAGTGTAAATAGTACTGGCCGGCGGGGGCGTGGCAAAACCCCACTTGCACGGGGATGTGGTCCAGGTGGAGGGACCCTACGCCCTGCAGCCTCCTTACCTCACATTGCTAAGATTCGAAAAGATGCAGGCAGTAGTTGCAACAAGAGCCCTTGTATGTTGGTGGCCCTGCGGCCAACTAACATGGACCAGGAACGGGAAAAATTCTTCCAGTCTCATTATACCTACAACCCACAGTTCGAGTATCAGGAACCGATGCCAATGAGTGTGCTGGAGAAGTACCAGGAGGCCTCTGCGCAGTTCATGCATCAGGTCAGTTCCCCTTGCCCATTTCACCCTGGCCCTGACTACCCAAGAGACCTAGCCTGACTAGTGACTGTGGCCCTGTGTACAGGCAGTTGGCATCATTGAGGCTGTCCTGGAGAAGTTTGGCACTTATGAAAACTTTGAGGCTGCCACAGGGGGCCAGCTGCTGACCAAGTGCCAAATTTGGTCCATTGTGCGCAAATACATGCAGAAGGAGGGTTGTGTTGGCGAGGTAAGTTTGCCCTATCTACAAAACCTGACTTCTGTGTGCCCCAAATCAGGCCACCTAGCTCATAGACCCAGCTCTAATTCCCCAGACATATTTCTGCCCCAGTCCCAGGGAAGTAAAAGCCAGCTTTGAAGGGTGGGTATCCTAGCCAGTGTCCAACCTGGCTGCCTTGTGGCATCGGGTGCCTGTCTGCACACTGGCTGTCAGGGCTTGTAAACCATGCTCCTACCGAGCCCTGCTACCCTGCAGGTTGTGGTGCAGCTGAGTGAAGACCTGCTGTCCCAGGCAGTGATGATGGTGGAGAACAGCCGACACACATTGGCCATCAACTTGACTGGAGCCCGCCAGTATTGGTTGGAGGGCATGCTGCGGCACGAGATAGGTCAGGCTGTGGGTGGCATGTGGGTGGGTGGGTAGGACTGAAAGGTATGAAGAGATGGGGGTACAGTGGGGGGTCTCAATAGTTCCCTTTTTTTCTCCCCCTTCCTTCACTCTGGGAGAAGACAGGCTTGTTCATCCCTAAGCAGATACTTCTTCCTTTGTGTTCGCAAAAGTCAGCCAGGCAAACATACCTGTCCACTCTGTGGGCTGGCCGGCATCCTTCCTTTTGAGTCTATCTCCAATTCTTTTCTGATTTCTTTGACAGTGAAAGGATTCTAAGAGGGCAAAAAGAATCCTGTGGGGTTCCACTAGACCAGCCCACCAGGCCCGCCAGGGTGGGTGGCAGGCTAGATCCTAGGAATGGAATTGCTTGGAGATGCATGGATAAAAGTTTAGAACACAGGGCTACACAGAGAACCCCTGTCTCGCACCGCCCCCACCCCCGCCCCCGCCCCCCCCAAACAAACACACAAACAAAAAGTTTAGAAGACAGACCAGGCTAGGAAGGAAAGCACAAGACACTAGTTACTCTGTCCTCATCAGACAGGAATCTTGTTGCTCTGGGCAAGGAGTAGTTTTGATTGGAGCATTTGCATGACTGTCAAGATGATTGGCTCTGGCATTAGGATGTTGGGAAGGTGGCGTGTGCTTGCTCTCTATGAGGGCTGGGCACACAGTATGAACTGGGGGTGAAGATGATGAGAAAATAGGTAGAGAAGAGCTTGCCCTGGAACAAGAAGTCTTCATACTGTTTGGAACTGGCTGAGAATGAATTTAGGTAGGGCCGGGTGGTGGTGGCGCACGCCTTTAATCCCAGCACTTGGGAGGCAGAGGCAGGCGGATTTCTGAGTTCGAGAGTTTGAGGCTAGCCTGGTCTACAGAGTGAGTTCCAGGACAGCCAGGGCTACACAGAGAAACCCTGTCTCAAACAAAACAAAACAAAAACAAACAAACAAACAAAAAACAAAAAAAAAGAATTTAGGTAGGGCTTAGGGATGACTTGTAGGACGTGAATTTGGGGGCGGGGCATGAAGAGTCTACACTAGAGGTTCTTGGAGCGAGTTCCGCCACCTCCTCATCCTCCCTGCAGGTACCCACTACCTGCGTGGTGTGAATAATTCGCGGCAACCATGGCACAGCACTGAAGGCAGACTGCAGTACGGTCTTCGGCCAGCCAACCCCACTGAGGAGGGCCTGGCCAGCCTGCATAGTGTGCTGTTTCGAAAGCAACCATTCCTGTGGCGTGCCGCCCTGCTCTACTACACAATCCACCAGGCGGCGCACATGTCCTTCCGCCAGCTCTTTCAGGATCTGGCGCAATACGTTCAGGACGAGGATGTACGCTGGGAGTACTGTGTCCGTGCCAAGCGAGGACAGACGGATACCTCCCAGCCAGGTGGGAACTGTGGGGTCAGGAGAAGGCTCAAGCTGGGGCAAGGTGAAGGGTGGATTTTGGGTAAGGATCGATTGGTTATCGTTCTCACAGGCTGCTTCAGCAAGGACCAGGTGTACCTGGATGGCATTTTGCGCCTCCTGCGGCACCGGCACGCCATCGATTTCCAGCTACTGACCTCGCTGGGCAAGGTAAAGGGCTGAAAGGCCCAGCCAGCTCTTCCTTCTTTGTCCTTCAGAGTTATGTTCGGTGAAGGCCTGGACACTTGAGAAAGCAGACAAAAAGAAACAAAGTTTTGGTAGCCCAGATCAGGTGTGTGACCTAGCCTGCAGATGTGTGCATATGCATTAAGAGAGGTGAGCATTCCAAGATAGGGAGCAGTCAAGAAGTTCTGGGGAAGAAGGTGGGAGAAATAAATGGCCAGGGACCAAAGGTCTTGTACTAGGTTGAGGAAAGCAAACCTCAACAGAAGCAAAGGGGGAGTTGGGGGAAGGGGCTATCATAAAGGTGTAGACATGGCTTTTCTTTAGGAGGCTCCAAATGGATGTCCTGTGGGAAGTGCAGGAAATGAAAGGCCTAGATAGGCAAGAGGCCTTCCATCACTCTTACATGATCGATAGTGGTCTGACTTAACAAGGCAGTGGTCATGGTTGCAAAGTGAGAATTGACAGATAATAGAACTCTTCATCTGTTGGACTCCCTGGAAGGGGAGATGAGAACCTAGTTGCCCTTTCTTGGACCTGATTGTGGTGACTATGAAGAGGTGGGACAGACAGCTGACATTCAGCAGTCTCCTGTTGGATGTGGGAGATAACCTGAGAGATACCCAGGTATCACTTGGCTGCTATTTAGAGGTGAAGGGATAAGCCGGGCTAGAGAGGAATGGGTTGTACAACCTAGATAAAAGATAGAAGAGGGGGCTGGAGAGATGGCTCAGTGGTTAAGAGCACTGACTGCTCTTCCAGAGGTTCTGAGTTCAATTCCCAGCAACCACATGGTGGCTCACAACCATCTGTAATGGGATCTGACGCCCTCTTCTGGTGCGTCTGAAGACAACTACAGTGTACTCATATACATAAAATACATAAATAAATCTTTAAAAAAAATACCCAGGGTAGAGCCTGAAGGTATCTATTATAGGAGTCAATGAAGAATATAGTCATCTCAGGAACAAATGGCCCCGAGCCATTAGTAGATCTTGGACTTTAAAGCCAGGCATTTTGATTAGCCCTGAGGCTCAGTTTTCTTCCTATAGGTCTCCTATGAAGATGTGGAACAACTGCGGCCCCATGGGGTACTAGATAATACCAGAGTACCCCACTTCATGAAGGACTTGGAACGTTACCGGCAGCAGCTGGAACACATCATGACCACCAACCGGCTAGATGAAGCGGAGCTGGGCCGCCTGCTGCCAGATTGATGTTGGCTAAGAGTTATAGACAGAAGCTCTTGACAGAGATCTCAGATCAGAATATGAAGTTCTTTATGGTTCTATAGCCTAGGTGTTTCTTGGGGGGGGCATTTGGGAGGTCAGGAGCATCTTGGGAAGATGAGAAAAGATGTCAGAAGGCTTGCTAGCCTTCCTGGGGCCTGTGAACTAGCAGCAGCATGTCGCATAAACCCCTGAACAGGGGAGATGGGGGGACAGGACGGGAGCTGAGTGTGAATAGAAATGTGGGTTGGTTTGGGAATAGAAACTTGTTCCTGCATGAGATGGCTTTGGGTGTCTGGTACCACTCTTCCCCTTCCTCCCACCTAGCCTATTGGTGCTCCTCCTACATTCATACTCTCTACCTCTCACTGGGGCCTGCGGGAGTTGGGATCCCCTCTGAGGTGACTTGCCTGAGCATGGGGTTCTGGCTGTCACTCGGGCTCAAAGACCCAGCTGGGCTGGGCTTTGCCTTTCAGCATTTTGTCTGTCTCATGCATTGTTCTATATTTGCCTCCATGGGGCTGGGAGGCAGCAGCTCCTAGTAGTTCTGTGCAGGGGCAGGATACTTTGGAGAGGTACCATTTGTTCCTAGATCCCTTTCTTATCACACACACACACAGACACACTATGTCTGTGTCTTGAGTGCAGCACCTGGCCCCACCCTTAGTCCCCACCTTAGTCTTGGTTGTGCCTGTCTTCGACCCGCAGCCTCACAGCTGGTCTCTGGCAGTGGTAAGTACAGGCGGGAACAACCAGATCAAACCCGCAGGGCAGGCCCTAGGGTTTGTTAACTCATGCTCGCTCAGGCTGGGATTAGTACAGAGCTAGTTAAGGTTTTTGATTTCGCGACAGCTGTGGGAGATTGAGCCAGTACTGTCCCAACCCTGGCTTTTTTGTTTAATTTTTCCATCTGTGAAGCTTGGAAGTACAGCTGGGAAGTTCTTATTTGTTTACTTGGTAGATACGTACAGAGCTCCTTGTGTATGTCTGTGACTGGTTAGACCCCCACACCCCACACTGAGCTCCCAGTTCAGAGGAAAGCCAGACAATTAAACAGCGGTTACAATGATGTGTGTGGCTTCTGTCTACTCAAGTTTCCTCTCAGGTCCTCCTTTGAAGACTGTGAGCTCCAAGACTTCTCTCCATATGTGGACGGACACCCCCCCCCCACTTTTACTTGCTTGGTACCCCAAGCCTAGTGATTTCCATGGAGTGGAAATGTTGCTCATTGGGGCTTCCAAATGGCCCCTGAGGGGAAAAAAGTGGGGTGAGGGAGAGTCAGATTTAGGGGCCTGAATCTGAGATCTCCAGAAATACAGCTTGGGCTATTTTGGGAGTGGAATGCTGTTGAGGGGGTGGGGGTATTTTCACACAAGCCTGCTCAGGTCAGTGGGATTCAGACCCACGCCCACCCTCAGTTCTTGAGCAAAGAGCCAGAGTTGTGGAGAGTGAGGTCCAGGCTAACCCTCCCGAGTTTATTCATTTGGCAGTAAATGAAGTCTTGGTGCATTGATTGGGTCAAGCTCTGGCAGATTTCTGGGTTTTATCCAGCTTGAATAGGATCTCCACAGGTAAAGATTCTGGCCTTCAGGAATCTGGAGATGAAAATGATGGTCAGTGGAATGGGGATCAACCCCCACTTCCCAGCCCACAACCTCTAACAAGCCTGCAAACAAGGGTTTAGGGGCCCTCACAACCTTCAGACTCATCCTCTTCTTGGAAGTCGGGCTCTGGCTCCGGCTCCGGCTCGGGCTCCGGCTCTGGCTCCGGTTCTGGTTCTACCTCTGGCTCTTGTTCTGGATCCAGTTCTTGTTCCAGGTCTAGCTCATCCCCTTCAGTAGCTTCAGCTTCTAGTTCTGGCTTCTCTGGAGTTTCAGGCTGCACTGCCTCAGAGCTCTCGGGACTTCCGACCTCCTCTTGTTCTGAAGCTCTGGGCAGCCCAGGACATGTGGTCCCTGAACTGGGTGCTTCTGGCGTCCAGTGGCCTGGGCATGAAGGGTCATAGCTGCGGTCCCGGTAGCCTGGGAAGGAAGTGGGAGTATTTGAGGTCCGGTTCACCCGTCTATCATTACTTACCTCCACATTCTCTGCCCTCCACTTACCCTTTGCTTCGCCCAGCCCCTAATCCACGCCCCTCGATTCATCAAGGCTCCACCCTCCTGGTGCTCACCAGGCCCCACGTGCTGCCAATCCCAGGCCGGGTCTGGCATGCGCACAGTTTGTTGGGCACAGCGCAGTAGCTCCTGGCAGGCTGCCTCGCCCTTGCTCTGCACCAACAGCAGTAGGCGGCGCACCCTGCGCTCTGCATCAGGCAGCGCATCCAAGGCTTCATACTCGGGCCCAGTGAGGACGCCCCGGGCCACCAGCGCGTCCAGCAGCAGCCCAGAGTCTGCCTGCAATGTCTCTACCAGCCGTTTCCGTTCCCGGTCAATGGTCTCCGATGGCCGCTCCTGTACGTTGCCCATTTGGGCTATATCAAAAAGGAGAGAAGGGAAGGTGGGCGTAATTTGCGGTCTCCTACACTGAGCTCTCCGAGAGGTTATCTAGTTCACCTCGACATCAGAGTCTGGATGGTTCCTCAGCGCAAGACCTAGAGGCCAGGAGCACAGAACTCACCCTCCTGTCTCTTGGCTGTGTCTGTCCTGAGGTTCCTCTTGCAGACTCCACCTGTCAGCTGAGTGCTCTCCCCAGCTAGGACCTCCCTCCTAAACCCCAGACACCTGCACAGTTGGCCACCAGTTGAGACCCAGTTTATCCAACTTTATTTTTTTTAAACCCAATTCCTTACCTAAATAGGCAGAAAACCCTAGGATTGATTCGTACCTCCTTCCTGATCCCCGCAGCAAACCTTGGATCAGAGCAGCCTACTTGGTCGCTCATACAATCGGGTCTGCATCCAAAGTGACGAGGTATCCATGTTCTATTCACCTAACGCAGAAGTCCGGGCATTCCAGAACCTTGCCCCTTCACCCACCACCGTCGGCAGCCTCAACATAGTCTTGAGACTCTTCCAGGTTATCTAAGCAGGACTGAACTTTAATTTTGACAGACCTCCTGGCATCAGGGACCCACTTGTTTCCCTGATGGCCAGGCAGCCACTTAACAGCCATCTCTTATTTGACCTTGAAGTGCCTCTTAAGTCACTAAGGAATGTTCACCAAACTTTTAGCTTCCTTTCCAGGGATTATTCATTCTGAGAAGCTGCCTGTACCAAACCGTAGGAACCAAGTATAAACTAATCTACTCTGCTTGTCTTTTATCAGCTACTGCCTGTCTGTTATGACTACTGCCCACTGGATTGGGTGTCCTGACCCAGTCAATAAGGACCCTGACATTAAGGAGAAAAGAAACCTGGCCATTCCTTTTGCCTAATCTTTATTCATACAGCATCCTCCTAAGTCTCCTCTGCCTTAAATGTCCCTGTTCTACCTTCTTCCTAGCCCATTGGATCATATCCCACCCCACACACATACTCCATGCATCCTGTGTCTCAGTACTCACTCTGTCCTGTTCCTGGGCACTTCACACCTTGGGGTCTCCGTCCCTCATATCTGTCAGTCCTTTCCCAAGGCCACTAAGCGCAGACCAGGTACACCACCCAACCCCCATCTCCCTCCATGTCCCATCTGTGTCGTACACCTTGTACTCAAATCTCCATTAGCTTCTGCCCCTTGAACCCACCACCAGCAGCAGTTTGCCTCCCGGGACAATAAATATCTCTGTGTCTTTCTCACACTCCACCCCTCCCCTCATTCCAACACTGTGACTTTGACAACTCTGGGGTAGAATTTATCGTTCCAGTTTTACGGATGAAGAGACAGGTTCAGAGAAACCCGGTACAGCTGGAATCTGACTTTCCCTAGCCTAAACTATATTGTTCCTTGTCTAGCTGAAGGCCAGGCCTAGACACCCACCCTCTGTCCCCAGTACCCATCAAAGAATCTAAGCTACTAGACTAGCTATTTTAATCCACTCCCACCACTCTGGACAGCCAGGTTCTTTGCTGTTTCCATCCAACCGTTCGGTCCTGTGAGAACTATGGTCCTAGCTAGCACTTTAGCCTTTGCCAATGCTGTTCCCTGGGCCTCTACTCTATGGACCCAGCCCTCGAGACTCAAATGCTCCCATGGCTACCCCAATTCCTGAGAGGTCAAAGGTTGGGAACTCCTTTTGTGTGCTTTGGTCCTCATTACTATATTTACAGGGATCCACACTGCACTGTGTGTTCAGGACTTCTGCTGTCCTCAATGAGGCTTCCAAAGACTGTCTCCCACCGCTGGTTACAGAGAAGGGGTGATGTTAGCACCTATTCTGGCCCGACTTCGAGGCAGGATTGGCCTCCTTTCCCCACTCTTTACCCTAAGTTATTTCTATGTTAGCTGTGTTTCCCTTTGAGGTTATCACAGCTCTAAGGTGAATGCTGGTTGTGTCTTATTCAGTGTTATCAATGGACAAGCCTAAACATTATTCTGAGCCCCAGGTGGAGAAGCAGGGGTCCTGGTCAGGTCTGGAATCCCTAGCTTGCTGGCTGAATGGGATTTGTTGTAGGGGGGAAAACAGGGGCAGGAGCGGATCGCGCATGCGCGACCGCAAGGGTACCCTCACCAGCCCGCCACTCAGTCCTAGAGCTGTAGTCCTGCGGAAGGCGGGGCCCACAGACCTTCGAGCTCCGCTGCTGCTGGTGGTGAGGCCCGGGATTCTGCCCAATCTGTTTCCTTTCCCTCCCTGCTGGGTGGAGTCGGGCTTGTAGTCCGGAGCGTTTCGGATGGCCCCACTCCGGAGTTGAGCCTCACCGGGGCAGATGACAGTGCAGAAAGGGCCGAGCGAGCGGGGTGGGTACGCGAACAGCAGCTGCAACAGGGGCGGGGCGGCCAGGGCTGCTGGGAATGGGGTGGGGGGAAGGGCATGCTTCACTGGCTCTATGAACTCGGACGCTGGTGGCGGAGGCCACGTGCTGGCAGAGGCAGACACATAGTCCGCTATTCTTCCCCGTCCCAGAGCACTCAGATTTGAGTCAGGGGGTCGGTACAGCTCACAGTCTCTCTTGTCCAGCCCTCTCTGGACCTTCTAATTGCTAGGTGTTTTTAATTTACCCTTCCACGACTCTTCCCTCTGCCTGTCAGATAAGTTTAGAGAAAGGAGCCGACTTGCCCAGAATCAGACACATGTCTGGAGCTGGTGTGGCACAGAAATGCCTGCTTCCTGGAGGGTTACAGTGGCCGGCGCCAGGCCGACATCTCAGTGCAAGTGGGAGAGTTAGGCACTGGTTCTCCAAGTACCATGGAGAGGGGGGGTCTTCCGTGAGAGTCTGAACATCTGAACTCTTGTATGAACGCAAAGTCGTCACCCACCCACGACTCTAGTGATCTTTGGTTGATAGAAGAAAAGAAAAAAAAAGAGAGAGAGAGACCGGAAACGGAGTAGGGGATGCAGTTTATGTTGCAGGAGTCAGTGGGGTAGTGGAGAGAGGCTGTCGCATACAGGGGGCTTCTCTCACCTCCCAGGGCCGGGGTGGGGGCGCCAGGGAGCCTAAAGGGGTGTGCTGTTGCGTGCTGGTTCCTTAGCCAGGCTTTTTTAGAGGGGTGCAGATCTCAGGGAGAGGAGGGACGGGCTCCAGGATCCAAGTAGGAAGCATTGCTGTCAGTGGCGTTGTACAGGGTTAAAGCCCCAGGCACAGACAGGGCTGCACCCTCCAAATCCGCCTGAACGTCTAGCATGAGTGGGGTTCCCAGCGTGTGGTTTTTCCCTAGGAGGAGTAGGATGTGCTTAGGCTAAGGGACCCTCTCCCTTTTTTCAGGAGGAGAGCCCCCTTCAGTTAGGTTGTGTGTTCCCATACACACATCGCTTTTCAAGGGTCTTGTTGCATAGCCTAGGCTGTTCTTCCTATCTCAGACTCCCTAGGGTTTGGATTACATGTAGCCGGGCAGTGGCGGTGCATGCCTTTAATCCCAGCACTTGGGAGGCAGAGGCAGGCGGATTTCTGAGTTCGAGGCCAGCCTGGTCTACAAAGTGAGTTCCAGGACAGCCAGGGCTACACAGAGAAACCCTGTCTCGAAAAACAGACAAACAAACACAAATAAACAAACAAGCAAGCATGCACTACCATATCTAGCTAAAACATTCTTGACCTTACCCTTCTCACACAATGATAAATCATTTGGGTGACTGTAGAAGGCTCTTCAGGGAAGCCTGAATTTAGGGTCCCCCTCCCAACCTGCTAAACCCACCAAGCCACTGTGATGGCTTTTACCCAGGAGTGCCCACCACCATTACCTACACCTGAAGAATTCAGCTCCTTGACTGTCAGCTCAGCGTCACCCCTCTCTGGAGCCAAGGGCTGCATCTGCATGGAAAAACCCCAGGAACCAGCTGAGAAGGGAGTTCAGAAGCCCAGGAGGAGAGCCGAGGAGTCACTGGGGACAATCCTTCAGCCATGAACCCCAGTGTGTGGCCCTTCTTACCAGAGACAACTCCATGTCCAGATCCATCAAGGTCCATTCTCGTCCATGCAGGCTAGGGCCCAGCACCTGGGGAGAGCTCGGGTGAGCGGTGCCTTCAAAGGCTGCACAGAGGGCTCAACCTCATGTGTCTCACCTCCTACCCCAGCCAAAGAGATACTCACATCCACTGGTGCTACGGGTTCCACAGTTTCAGGGGGAGGCCGAAGTAGCGTTGGGGGCAGCAGACTCTCTGGGCTCCGGTCACCCCGATCCAGGCCCAGAGTCCCCCTGTGCATAAAGTACTGCCATTGGTCTACAATACCAACCTGTTATTAGTTCTTAAGGAACGTGCATCATCCAGTTTAAGCTGCTCCAACAACTAGAACATGCTAGGAGACGATGCTTTCCTTCAGTGCTCTCCCTAATATATTAGAGAGGCTTTATTTTCTTTTTTAAAAATTCAAGGGAGCTGGAGAGATGGCTCAGTAGTTAAGAGCACTGACTGCTCTTCCAGAGGTCCTGAGTTCAATTCCCAGCAACCACATGGTAGCCTTCAACCATTTGTAATGGGATCTGATGCCCTCTTCTGGTGTCTGAAGACAACGACAGTGTACTCATATAAAAAAAAAATCCTTTTTTTTCTTTAAATCTCTCTGAAGAAGGAATGAGAAAATGTCTTGTTACGTAGTCCTGGCTGGCCTCAAGCTTATAGCAACGCTCCCCTCTTAACCTCCTGGTTGCTAAAGGGACATCTTCGCTGTTGTTTGACACAGGGTCCCGTGTAGCTTAGGCCAGGCACATTTACTAGCTAAGTGTGATCTTGAACTCCTGACTCTAGGGCCGCTACCTCCTCCCTAGAGCTGGCATCATAGCAGGGTGGTGTCGCCATGCTCAGATTCTTTTTTTTTTTTTTTTAAGATTTATTTATTTACTTTATTTATGAATATACTGTAGCTGTCTTCAGACACACCAGAAGAGGGCATCAAATCTCATTACGGATGGTTGTGAGCCACTATGTGGTTGCTGGGATTTGAACTCAGGACCTCTGGAAGAGCAGTCAGTGCTCTTAACCACTGAGCCATCTCTCCAGCCCCCATGCTCAGATTCTAAGCAGTCATCTTGAGGTTGCCTTTGGTTCCTAGCCGAGACGTGAAACCTTGAGAAATGCCCCCTTCCTATGTAAGTGTGATTAGTAGTGACTAGTAGAGATTTGGGGGGAGGGTTGTTGTTATGTGTTTGTTTGTGTTCCAGTCTTGGAGTTTGAATTTAGGTCTTGAGCGTGTTAGGCACATCCTCTGTCACTAAGTTATGTCCCCAACCCAGCCACCCTTTCCCTTTGTTTTTAATTAATTAATTAATTTTTATTTTATTTTATTTGGCTTTCTGAGACAGGGTTAGCCTTAGCTGTCCTGGAGCCCATTCTGTAGGCCAGGCTGGCATCAAACTCTGAGTTATACCTGCCTCTGCCTCCCGAGTGCTGGGATAGTGGCATGCGCCCCCACCACCCAGCTTATTTATTTATTTGTATTTATTATTATTGTGTGTGCATTATGTGTCCGGGGGCTTTGGAGAGGTCAGAGAATGGTTTCATGAAGTTGATTCCTTCCACTTTACGTGAGTTTCAGGGGTTGGACTCAGGTCAGAGGCTTTTGTGACAAGTGCTTTACCTGAGGAACCGCCCTGCCAAATCTTCCTTTTATAGTTAGACAGAGTCTCACTGAGTCACCAGAACTAATCCTGAGCTCACACTGTAGCCCAGGCAGGCCTTGAACTTTGGATACTCCTGCCTCAGTCTCCCAAGTAGTTGGATTGACACCCCTGTGCCACCAAGACCAGCTATAACTGGTTCTTTTGTTTTGTTTTGTCTTGTTTTGTTTTCGAGACAGGGTTTCTCTGCGTAGCCCTGGCTATCCTGGAACTCACTCTGTAGACTAGGCTAGCCTTGAACTCAGAAATCTGCCTGCCTCTGCCTCCCAGGTGCTGGGATCAAAGGCGTGCGCCACCACCACCCAGCACTATAACTGGTTCTTATCTATCTATCTATCTACCTATCTATCTATTATCTGCCTATCTATCTATTATCTGCTTATCTATCTATCTATCTATCTATCTATATTTATTCATCCCAGTGAACTAATTTCAGATGTAAATTCCAGAGTCCTACCACAGGGTGCTTGGAGTTGACTGGGAGTTTCCATTTTCCAAATGATGCTGATACTCTTTGGAGCATAGTCCGAGAAGTCAGGGTCATGAGCGTCTGATGCCCAGTGTCCTCCCTTAGCTGCCACAGGACCATAATGCAGTGCCTTTTCTTTGGCCAGTATCTGTGGATCTATCTATAAACCGTCAACATTGGCTCTGCTCACCTGTCAGGTACCTCCCTGGGGCCTCTTGGTTCAAGTTGTTGTACACTCCTGGGCCCCTCGGGGCTGAAGCTCCCTCTCCCTTCCAGGATGGCCTGTACCACAGCCACGGGCAGGGGTGGGGGTGCTGTCACGCAGAAGTCACACTCGTTTGGGGCCAGGGCCAGCCCGGCCTCGCCATCCCCCCCTGGACTGGCCGGCTCTTCTTTGAGCAGTGCCAGGCCCTTCACCCTGCACCAGAGAAAAGCTTCAACCAGACCCCGACACTGACCTCTCCCCCACCTCCACAGGCTTGTGAGCTGCAGGCCCTTCCCCATAGGGTCCCCAGAAAGCAGCCCCTGTCCTCCATACCTCCTGCCACCACTGGAGGGAGAAAGCCTGTGTCCTTCAGGAGGTGGAGAATCTTCTGGGATGTCAGAGATGATGGGCCCTCTGGGCCTGTGAGGGCCCAGGCCCAAGGTGGTCTCTGGGAGGGGCTGCAAGTAGAAGAGTAGGCCCAGCCTTTGACCTATAACTGTAGGAAGAGCCCAACCAGCACCACCAGGACCAGGTCTCGGGGTCAAGGTTTAAAAAGGAATCTCTACTGGGGAGCCTAGGTCTGGGTTCTCAAGTGTTGGCTTCCATCTTTGTGGGGGAGGGATAGGGAGAAGAAGGAGCTTCCTCATAATTCTATCTGCACCCCAGGAAGAGGAGGTAGAGGGGAGACAACACCTACCGACTGGATAAAGTAGGGGTCCTGGAGGAGAGCACCTGACACGGGGCAGGCATTGAATTTGGCAGATGCTGAACATGCGGTCCCCTCATCCAGCATTAGGGACCTGTGCAGGGTGGGTAGCTTAGGCCTTCATGCCCCTCGGGCTGCACCTCCCTCCCCCCCTCTCCCTCTCTCTCCCTCCCTCAGGCCCCAGCAGCCAAGTCAGCAGAGCCGAGGCCTGTTGCCAGGGCATCAGTCACATGCTGGAGTGGAAGGGGCTCCCTGAGAGATGGGGGCCCTTTGGGGGTTGTGAGGGAAGGGAGGAAGCTTAGTTTGAGCCCCAAACCAGGGATGCCTACTTGGGGGCCTAGGAATTTGAGAGTAAGGTCCTGGAATGGAATCGAGGAGGACATGTGGGGTAATGGATGGTAGAGTTCCGGGAGTTCTGGCGGTGGGAATGCAGGTGTCAACACTACATACAAACTTTTCTACTTACAGTTTTCTCTTGGCTCCTGTACTGCCAGACCCCGTCTGAAGTGGCCCAAACAGGCACTGGATTAGCTGAAAAGAAAGGGTTAATTTATATTTCAGGCCAGACCCTTCACTCTAGAAAGGCAATTCCTGATTTGAAGGAAAGGGGCGGAGGTGTGGGGTACCCAGGAGTAGGGGAGGCTAAGAGGTTGGGGCAGACCAGACGAATACCTTGCCGATGATCCGGTGCTGCTGACTGTGGCTCTGCCTCAGGGTCACCACCTCACGCCACAAGATCTCGTTCTGCCTGGGGAAAGGGTAGAGGATGCTGAGGCATCTGAGTTTGCCACACAGAATGGAAAGGTTCAGACTCTGTGACCAGCAGAGAGGACGTTCATCTTATAAGACTAAAGTTCCAGAGTTGGACCCATTGCCTGCATGGATGGAGGCTCCAACCAAAGAGCGGAAGGAGCTGGCCAGAACCCTTAGGTGGCCAAGGTCCTCTCACCCGTAACTCCACCCTTCCTTCCCTGTCCCGCACTGCCTGAGTTCCTGCAGCCGCGCCTCCGTGCTCTCCTGCACTCCCCTCAAAGCTTGCACTTCTCCCAGCAGTCGTCCCAGGTCTTCAGGACGCCATCGACTGTCATCGCCTCGCAGCGCTGGTACCTGCAGGCAGGAGGCACCAACAGGGACACGTAAAACAGCCAGAAGTACCAACATTGGTGCTTTCCCATTTTCTTTTTTCAGTTTGTCCCACCTTGCGGCGCACGCGCTCCAGTAGCTGCTCACGGCCTCGCACGAAGCTCGGATGCTGAAACTCAACGTGGTCACGCTCTGGTCTGAGCAGGCCACCTTGCTCAATGCTCACCACCTTCCGAAAACCATCTGAGGAACAGCGCGCGGAAGGGCGGGGCGGGGTGGGGTGTGAGCGTGAGTCCCTCCATCCTCAAGATTAAGTTATCCCAACCCTCTCCCCGTTTGGCAAAGGGACTCACACATGTTGAGTTGGCGAACGAAGCTCGCCATGTTGCTGTGCTTGAAATACTGGGGCAGAACTTCCTTGGCGAAGCGGCTCTGATCACTTACGAGGAAGCTGGTCCCACTCTACCGAGAACGAACGACAACCACCCGCAAGCGGGTGGGGACCAGACTCCGTGAGTGGGTGCCACTCACGGCTGGGCCATACTCACTCACTGTGGAGTCCAGATTTGTATCTCACTGGGAGGTAGGATTTGGCCAGGTCAGTACCATGTAAAGCCTATTCTGTCATAACCACAAAGAATTCCTACCCTTAACTAGACCTACAGGCAGCTCTCAGAAAGAATTAGCATACACCAGCCCAGGGTTCATCTCAGACTGGTCCCAGACTCACTACCTGACTCTGAGCCAGAGACAGAGCCGGCTCTTCTCTTTCCTTGGCCTGTTTTCTCATCAGTCGATGAAGTAAAGTGAGAATTACCTAGGTCCCTGTGGGCTCTAGGACCCTTACTTCACATCTTTGTCTCACACGCCCCTTCCACTTGATCCACTCTCGGACAGCTGAATTGAGGTACTCACAGCCCAGACCCAGGCGGGGGCTGGGTGGACATGGGTGTTCACAGACATTGGAGGGATCCCGGGGACCACTGAGGGAGTTGAGGGGCCCCAGCCCTCACCGGGCTCCAGCGGATGAGGTGGTCGGTGCCTGGGTCGCCTACCAGCGCCCATAGCTTGCCGAGGAAGGCAGGTACCGGGCTGGGGCCTGGCTCCGTGGGCAGCGCAGCTGGCGCTTCCTGCATGGCGCAGTCTCGGCCGGGCTCAGCGTTCCAGCCCGGCCGCTGCGGGCTTGTCAAAGCCGCGAAAGTGCTGCGTTTGCCGCCCGCCCCGCCCTACTCCGCCCCTGGGCGCCGGGTCAGGCGGGGGCCGCGTGCGAACCCAAGAGGCGGGGCTCGGACAGCGGCCCAGCCACCGGCGGAGAGAAAGGGCTGGCAGAAAACGTAGGTGTGTGGGTGGGTGAGCCCACGTTCGAGTCTCGTCCTTCTCAAGTTCCTCTCTTTCTGTGTGGTTTGGGAGAAAACATCTGTGGGCTCGGAAAGTCCTAGTTCATCTGCAGACATAGTGAAGCCTAGGTAAGGGCCGGCAGATAGATAGGGTGGTGGGTGAAGTGGGACTTGTCCTGTCTGCGAGAACGCTAGGGAACTGGTCATTCCCGGGGTACAGAGTACCCGGATCCAGATCCCCCACAGTACACAGTACAAAGGCCCTTGAGGCCTCCTTCTTGAATGTGGGGTCGGGCTGCCCTTCCAGCCTTTGTGGATTTCCTGCCCTCCCCTTCACGACTGACTCGAGATCACAGGACGCAGGAATATTAAAGGATTTATTTACTTTACACTCACCCTTGACTCTTGGCTCCTACTTGTGCCTACCCTCCCCCCCCCCCAGCTCTGGGGCTCAGAGCTAATGCGAGAGCACAGAGGGGAGGGAGAGCCCAGAATGGACAGAGACAGAGAGGTTGAGAGGGCTCGTGAATATATGGTGCCTGGGATTTTTGTTCTGGATGCTTTCATAGACCCCAATTCCCAAGAAGCGCTATGGTCAACGGAGCCCCTAAAGAAGAGGCTAGCATCTGGGGCGAGCCTGCGCAACTTGCTTAGGCCTTCCCTAGGCTTCGGGTTCGCGCTGTCCTAGAGGTGCGAGATTGCCCAATCACCGCACCAGAGTGGGCCGCCAGGGATGCGGCTCACGCTTCAGTTTGAGCGTATAGCTGCGCAGGCGCGGACAGTGCGCGCGGAAGGCGTCCAGTACCGAGGGTCTCACCACGCAGAAGCAGTGTATCTCTCTCAAGCCCGCGCAGCGCGCCGCCAGCTCCTCCAGCGCGGTGTGCAGCTCGGTGGAAGCGGACGCGCGCACCTCGAGGGCGCGCAAAGTTTCGGCGTAGTGGTGCGCTGCGAAGCGCACCGGTCCTACTGTGTCACCCGAGAGGTTGAGACGCAGCGCAGCCACTGGTATTGCTGGTTGCAGGATGCGCGTCACGGCCTCATCTGGAAGCACAGGCTCCAGCTCCAGCTCCACCTCCAGCCCAGGATGGCGGTATCTCAGCGTCGCCCAGGCTTCGTCAGGCAGAGGGGAAGCACGAGCATCATCGGGGCACGCGCACCTCAGTGCTAGAAGTGCAAAAGGGGCGCGATGCGGAGCGGCTAGCAATTCTAGCGCGGCGCGGGACATACTAGCAAGATGCAGTCCAAGGGCGCGCAGGTGAGGACAGGCCTCCAACAGCTTGAGCACAGAGGTGGGCTGCACGCTGTTCACCAGTGCATGGTTGTCCAGGAAAAGACTGCGGAGCTCGGGACAGCCACCAGCAGCCTTAAGTACCAGAGTGTCGTCCAGCGTGTAGGGCAAGCGGCGCAGGTCGAGGTGGCGCAGCTGGTGAGCAGCTCCGCAGACTGCGTGCACAGCGCCCAGAATGTTGCGGCCCGCATCAAAAAGTGGCTTCTCTCCGCGGCATTCCAAGCGCAGGCCTCGAAGCCTTGGGCAAGCTTGGCTGGCCAGAGCAGTCAGCAACTCGGTGGCCGTTCCGCGACTGGCCTTCTTTGAAGGTTCATATTCCAGCCTTAGGTTGTGAATGTAGTCCAGGCAGGCCCACAGATACGGTGGCAACATGTCTTCCAGCTCACAGTCACAACTTATGTTAGAGCGACACAGAAAGGAATTAGCGGTGTCACCATGAACTTGGAATTAAACTTTTTTAAAAAGATAATGTGTGTGTGTGTGTGTGTGTAGTTGTTTTACCTGCATGTATGACTGTGCACCACAGGTGTGTCTGGTGTCTGAGGAGGCCAGAAGGGTGTGTTAGGATTCCCTAGAGCTAAAATTACAGCTGGTTACTTATGAGCTGCTGAGTAGGTGCTAGGAATTGAACCCAGATCTCCTAGAAGAGCAGCTAGTGCTCTTAACTAAGGAGCCATCTCTATGTGCCCCTCACATTGGGTTCCACCGGCCCCCTTTTTTCTATGACAGGAATTTCCATCCTTTTTTTTTTTTAGAAGACTTCAAAGGTTTCTGCCTGAGGTTGAACCCCCTCCCAGCCGTGTGTGTGTGTGTGTGTGTGTGTGTGTGTGTTATTTAAGGAAGTAGGCATGCTCACTAGTCTGTGGAGATGGGGCAGGGTCTCCAGACCCAAGAGATTAAGTCTCTAAGCCTCAGTTTCCTGTCTGTGCAAAAGAGACACTACTCTCTACCACTACAGGAGATTCTTGTGAGGATTAAATGAGTTAATTTCTTTTTCTTTTTTCTTTTCTTTTTTTTTTGTTTTTTTGTTTTTTGTTTTTTTTTGTTGTTGTTTTTTTGAGACAGGGTTTCTCTGTGTAGCTCTGGCTGTCCTGGAACTCACTCTGTAGACCAGGCTGGCCTCGAACTCAGAAATCCACCTGTCTCTGCCTCCCAAATGCTGGGATTAAAGGCGTGCGCCACCACTGCCTGGCATGAGTTAATTTCTGTAAGGCACTTAGGATACTAGTTGGGGGCTTGGGACAGAGTTCACTTTTGCCTAGCAAACGTGAGACCCTAGGTTCAATCCTCTGTACCGAAAAAAAAAAAAAAGATAATACCAACTGGTATATAACAGGCAGCCAACGAGTGTGTCTTCAGGTATGAAGCTATCTGAGCGGGCAACAGGAAGCAACTCACCTGATACTTGTATCAGACCATACTGCACTGTTGGAGGCAGCCGCAGCCCAGGCCCTGCAGACTCTGGCAGCTACAGCACGGTCCCTGAGAGGCAAGTCACGGAAGATGAGCGCCAACACTTCCTCTGGCAGCTTTTCAACCGGCTCCCCCATGGTGTGGTTGGAGGGGCGGGGCCTGCCGCTCCCAGGGGCTATTTGTGAAAGACGGAGGCTCAGGAAGGATTCCCTAGAGCTAAAATTACAGCTGGGCTCAGGAAGGCGGGTGTACGCTTGTGCACAGTAATCCTGGGAGCCTAGGGGGCGCTATATGGTTTGTAGAGAAGGCAGAGATCCCACGCTATGAGACGGCTCAGCAGACAAAGACACTTGCCAACAACATGGATGACCTGAGTTCAGTCCCTGGGTTCCAGGGGATGAAAGAAAGAACTGATTTCTGAAAGTTGTTCTCTGACCTCCAGGAATGCATGCCTACCCTGACTAGAGCACTTCCATACACACACACACACACACAAACACGAACAAACAAACAAAAAGTTTAGAAAACACAACATAAAAATTGGACTGGAGGCACGGCTCAGCAGCTAAAAGCAAGCAAACAAACAAACAAACAACACCCTGGCTGTACTTGCAGAGGACCCAGGTTCACTTTCCAACACCCGACATGTGGCTCACAATTACCCTTCATTCCAGTTCCAGAAGATCTGACGCCCTCTTCTAGCCTCTGTGGGTGCCAGAGGCACACACAGTGCACAGACATACATGCACATAAACACTCATACACATAAAACATGTAAATCTAAAAATTATGTTTTTAAGACAAGTTACTGGAGAGAGAGCCCGTCGGTTAAGAGCATCTGTTGCTCTCAAAGAAGGTAGGAATTTGGTTCCCAGCACCTCCATAAAAACTGTCTATAGCTATAGGTCAAGGAGATCTAACAACTTCTAGCCTCAGTGGCTCTGCACGCTCATGTGACTCAGACATATGTGTAAACCCATATACATTAAATAAATTAGTTACTTAAAAAAAGAAAATGCAGAGGTCTCTGTTCAGAACATTAAATCTCCCTAAAGGGTTAAAGGTGTAGTTCCAGTGGTTGTGCCTACACACACACACACACACACACACACACACTTTGTCATCTCTCTCTTCTTTTTCTCTTTTCTCATCTCTGCCGTGTAGCCCTGGCTGGTATTGAACTTGAGATACTCCTGCCTCAGTGGTTTGGTTTTTCTTTTTTTTAAAAGACAGGATCTCACTATGTAGCTTTGGCTGGCCTGGAACTCACTATGTAGACCAGGCTGGCCTTGAACTCACAGAGATCCACTTGCCTCTGCCCGGGAATGCTGTGGTTAAAGGTGTGTACCACCAAGCCTAGCCTTCACTGGTTCTTTAAACTACTTTCTCATTTGTTGAACAAATGAGAAGTAGATTTCAAGTTGAGGAATTCTGTCCAGGAGAAACTGACTGCTGGGTAAATCAGGCGCGAATAGTAGAGAATATTTTTGTTGTTTCTTTCTTTTTGTCTGAAATGACAAGCCAATCAGGAAGTGGTAATGCACATACGTGACCCAGAAGGGGAGGCTCCTTTACACTGCCTCCACCCCCTAGAAACAGACTGACTTCCTGCCTGCTTTCTGTGACAGACCTGTGATAAAATGCTTGTGGCTCTGTCTGGAACCGGACCACTCTGGCACCTTGAGTGGCTGTTGTTCAAGTTAGGACCTTGACCCTGAGCAGCCCAGATTCCTGCTAGCTAACAAAGATTCGGGTGGAACCCTGACACACTCCAGACACAGTGTGTCTGCAGACACACTCAAGAGCTTGGGTGTTAGGAAGAGGGTGGGATTGTTGGAATCTGTGCGTTTTCTCTGAAGTTGCCAGTTTTGCCTCAAGGTGCTGTAAGGTTTTTGTAAAGGTTCACTCCACTTGCTGTTTAATTTCCCCAATGACTTCCAGGCGTACGGTCTCTCGTGGAATTTACCTCAAGTATATTCTAGAGTTAGGCTTGTCCTATACTCCGAGCTAGGCTTGTCTTGGAACCATGGCACCCCATTTTCAGTGCTAAAGACTAGCAGAGATTAGATTATCAAATCAAATTCCTAGGGGGCGCCAGAAAAATTCTCATCTCCGGGAGATGCCCTCTGATTGAACCCCAGGAACTGACTTAAATTTGGCGGCTCACACTCTGGTGCCCTTTCGGCTTCAAAAACTCCAAGCCGCTAACGTCCTGTCCAGTGGGCAGTTCGTCCTGCCATCTAACCTTGGGTGTCGTTATCTTACCTGCTCAGCGGACTAGGTGGGCTTTGCCTGGAGACAGGGGACTGGCCACGGAGGACAGCTAGGGCAGGAAGGAGAGGCCCTGGGCGGAGAAGGCGGGACGCGCGGGCGGACTCAGCGACTGGGACTGGGGCACCGCCCCTGCGTCTCCGCGCACACCCGGAAGCCGCGCGCAGCGGAGCCAGGAGAGTGTGTGGCGGCCAGGTTAGTGCGGAGAGTGGGTGGGCTCCCTCGGTGCAGCCCGAGCAAGGAGAGAGATCTGGCTTCTCGAGGGTGAGCAGCGCGCGGTGGTGACACGTGGTTGCTGGCCAGCTAGTGGCAGTGGCCGGTCAGATTGTTTTGGTGGGAGGCGCGAGGGGCTTCGGACTTCCACTTTCTCTGGTTTCTTGTTTCTATTAAGGGTTTCTGGTGGGTGTCAGGGACCTGCGGACGAGAAGGATGCGGCTGAAGGGCTGGCCGGGAACGGTTCTGAGAACCCTCTTCCTGTCTGAGCCCAGTCGTGCGCGAACCCCCGGTTTGAAGGCGGGGTAGTGGGCAGACTGGGAACCTCCCTCTGGCAGGTCGCGTACTGCGCAGCCAGGAGCAGCCAAGCAGGGGGCGTGTCCTGATGGTCTGGGAATCTCAAACTTTCATTGAGTTGGGAGCCAAGCCCTTCCACCTAGCCAGAAGTGGGGCTACCTGCGGACTGTTACATGTTAATGAGACCGGGCATCTGGGTAGAGGCGTTTGTTCTGGAACCCAGCCTAGAAGCCTCCCGGTGGGTGATAGAGCTTTCAATGGAAGGATGCCAAGAAGGATTCTTTTTTTCTTTTTGTTTTTAGAGACAGGGTTTCTCTGTGTAGCCCTGGCTATCCTGGAACGCACTCTGTAGACCAGGATGGCCTCGAACTCACAGACAGCTGCCTGTGTCTGCCTCCTGAGTGCTGAAATTAAAGGGGTGCACCACTACCACCTGGTTCTGGGAAGGATTCTTAAGGGAACAGTGAGATACCAGTTCCCTCCATCCTATCTGTCTTATTACCTCACTTCTCCAACTCCAGGGGACTCCAGCGCGGCCATCTCCCCTATTTGCTCAATACTTGTGAATTTACATATCGATTACTCTGCCATCTCCAGCTCTCCAGTACTTGTGCCTGACGAGCCTGATGGATAGTATCCCGACACACACCAGTACGGTCCCAAGTCTCTTCCTACCCCTTGGGATGGGGCCATATTCATCGGATAGAAGGATAGGAAAGTGAAGTAGGTGTTTCAAGAATCACCGCGCTACTTCTTAGGCGTCCTTACTTGTTTTATTCCTCCGTAGCTGAAGTTTCGTCTTGATTTGTTGTTGCCTTACATTTTACGAAAGACATTTACGGGCTGGGGTGGGGCTCAGTGGCTGAGAACTTGGCTACCATACACATGGTTCAGGGTTCAATCCCAAGTACGGAAGCGACTGGAGCTCTGCCCTCTAGTACAGGCTGGCTCCAACTTCCTGGTGTCCTTGCCCCCCTGGTTCCTGGGGGCTGAGCTTTCAGGTAGGATGCCATCACCTCAAGTTCTCTTCTCCTCTCTTTTCTTTGTTGTCTTATTGAACCAGGATCTTATGGTGTAGACTCAGAGATCTGACTGCCTCTGCCTCCTGAATGCTGGGATTAAAGGCAAGTTTCATTACAATCCACCTCTGTTTTTTTTTTTTTTTAATAAGAAACATGTCTTTTGCCAGGCAGTAGTGGTGCACACCTTTAATCCCAGCACTGAGGAGGAAGAGGCAGGTGGATTTCTTGAGTTTGAGGACAGCCTGATCTACAGAATGAGATCCAGGACAGCCAGGGGTACCTTGTCTCAAAAAGCAAACAAAAACTCCAACCAACAACCAAAAACAAACAAACAAACAAACAAACAAAAAAATCTGTGTCCCCTATGCGTAGACCTAGATAGGGCCATGGAGAATTCATCATTTCCCTCCACAAGGTCTCTATGCTGCCCTGCCCAGGTGCTTTCTTCGGCCCTCCACTAGAGGTTTAGAAACAAGATTGTGACAGGAGACGGATGGAAGTGATCCTAGCATTGAGGGGCTCTGCTGTTACGTGGACAGTTAGGGAATCTGTGTAGAAATAGCGGAAGAAAACCAGGGCCTAATAGCAAAGTAGAGTGACTTAGCTTACACAACTGAGCAGTCAGAGATGGCTGGATCTGTGGTTCAGAGTGTCTGTCCTCAAGCGGGCATGGTGGCACATGGACTCGGGAGGTAGAGGCAGAGGCAGAGGCAGAGGCAGAGGCAGAGGCAGAGGCAGAGGCAGAGGCAGAGGCAGAGGCAGAGGCAGTCAACTCTCTGTGAGTTAGAGGCCAGCTTTCTATAAAGGGAATCCAGGTTAGCCAGGTCTTGTTATACAGAGAAATCCAGTCTTGAAACCCTCCTCCCCCCAAAAAGAGTGTCCTGAGATGGAATATACGGCTAACAGTTAAGAGCACTGTCAGCTCTTCCAGAGGACCCAAGTTAGATTCCCAGCACCCTCACTGTGGCCCACAACCGCCTGGAACTCCAGACCCAGAAAAATCTGATGCCCTTTTCTGGCCTTCATGGGCACCAGACATGCATGTGCTACATAGGAAATCATGCAGGCAAACCAATAAAAAAATAAGAGTGTATGTCCCGCCAGGTGTGGTAGCTCATGCTTTTAGTCCCAGCACTTGGGAATCAGAGCATGCAGATCTCTGTGAGTTGGAGGCCAACCTGCTTTACATAGTAAGTTCCAGGCCAAGCCTGTCCATCATAGACATAGACCCTGTCTCAAAAAAAAAAAAAAAATGTCCTCATCTCTTGGCTTTATTTCCTTCCATGTAGACTTCCTCCTTCCCTTAGATAGGTTCTTCCTAAGCAGGAGACAGAGAACTATTGTGTCCCTCTAATTCCACACCAAAGATGGGGAAGTTAGTGCCTCTTCCTTTATGGTCCACCCAGCAATGCAGAACTGGGTGTCATTACTCCAGTTTGAGCCTGTATCAAGTTCTGACTGGTTCCGAAGAGTGGTGAGTGGGATGTGTAGACTAGTCAGCCTTGCTTTCACATTCGAACTTGGATCTAGGCAGGGACGGTAGGTGGAGCCAGGTATGGGGGAGTGAGGGCGGTGCTTTTGACCTGCAAAGACATGAGTCTCCTTGGTTCTGAAGCATGAACACAATCCAGAAGGAAGATGGCTTTTGTCAGCTTTAGTAAGAGAAACATATTGGCCTAGGGCCGGCTGGGCAGTAGTGGCGCACACCTTTAATCCCAGCACTTGGGAGGCAGAGGCAGGTGGATTTCTGAGTTCAAGGCCAGCCTGGTTTACAGAGTGAGTTCCAGGACAGCCAGGGCTACACAGAGAAACCCTGTCTCAAAAAACCTAAAAAAGAAAAAAAAAAAAAAAAAAATTGGCCTAGGGCCTACTTCAGGGCCCACCTCTGTTCTGCTGTTACTGTGACCTTAGACTTTTTGTCTAAGGCAATGGAGGGACAATCTTGGATTCATGTCTAGGTTGAGTTAGGCAGGACTATGAGAAGAGTCAAGAGCTGGGGACTGTGTGGAAGGACAGCTGGACCATGTGAGACTGGATAGCTGTTTCCAAGTCTGGAGATGACCTATTTGCATCTCTAGGAGGCAAGATGGCAGCTGGTCAGAATGGCCATGAGGAGTGGGTGGGCAGTGCATACCTGTTTTTGGAGTCTGCGGTAGACAAGGTGGTCCTGTCTGAAGCCTATACAGATCCCAAGAAGAAGGCGGCAATATACAAGGCTCTGCAGACTGCATTGTCAGGTGTGTGGCTGGACAGGTGTAGTGATGCTGGGACTTTGTGGGAGGGACTGCGATTGAGGGCCCACTTCTTTGCTTTGTGGATTTAGGCTCAGACACCTTTAAGAAAAAGAGTATTGGGGTGAGGGGTTGGAAGAGGGATGAGGAGAGAGGGAGCACTTCCGGCTGTGTGGGGTCTGCAACCTTTCTTTCCTTATTGTGCATGTGTCCGTGGGTGCAGACATTTGTACATTTGTCTGTGTCGACCAGAGATCCACGTGTTTCTCTTCTAATGCCACCTTGTTTTACACCCGTCCTCACTTCCGGGCAGCCAGTTCTCTTTGCTACTAATTGCACTTTTCCGTCTTCTCTTCCTCTCCCACTGCAGCATTCCTTGCCCATACTCCTTCCCTAGTACCTACCCTTTCTGTTCCCTTTCTGGGCAGAGAGCACTAGAGGCTGACTTTGGGGGTTGGGAGAGTAGGCCGACTCTGGCTTAGCTTCCTCCTCTGGTTGCTTGGAGAAAAGTCCTGTTTGGGGGACAGCGAGTGGCCTGACTGCTCGCCTCCGCAGAGAGTGGGGACAGTCCTGACGTACTGCAGATCCTCAAGATCCACTGCAGCGACCCTCAGCTCATCGTCCAGTTGCGTTTCTGCGGGCGCCTGCTGTGCGGCCGCTTCCTCCAGGCCTACCGCGAGGGGGCGCTGCGCACCGCGCTGCAGAGGTGCATGGCCGCGGCGCTTGCCCAGGAAGCGATGCGATTGCAACTGGAGTTGCGTGCTGGGGCGGAGCAGCTGGACAGTTGGCTGACCGATGAAGAGCGCTGTCTGAATTACATCTTAGCCCAGAAGGTGCTGCCGTCTGTAGTTAGGATGGGATGGGCGGGGATTTGCGGCCCAAAGCCGCACTTACTGTGCACCTCTTCGCGCAGCCCGACCGGCTCAGGGACGAGGAACTCGCGGAGCTGGAGGATGAGCTCTGCAAACTGACCTGTGACTGCGCTGGCCAGGGTGGAGCCACACAGGTAGCTCCAGCGAGTTCGAAGTCCCTGGTTTCATCTCCGACCGAGGAGAAGCCACTGCCGGCCGCCTGCCAGACTTTTCTGTTCCATGGTCAGCCCATAGGTGAGGTTCACCAGCAGAAGCGGGGTCACCAGCAGGTCGATCTGAGCTGGAGCAGGGCTGGGCCCAGGTATCCGCAGGCAGGTGCGGGAGGGTGCGGGCTCCAGGGATCCGGTGCACACTCACCTCTTCTCGCTTCCTCCGCAGTGAACCGGCCACTGAATCTGCAAGACCAGCAGACGTTCGCGCGCTCAGTGGGCCTCAAGTGGCGCAGGGTGGGGCGCTCGCTGCAGCGTAGCTGTCGAGCACTGAGAGACCCTGCCCTCGACTCGCTGGCCTACGAGTATGAGCGCGATGGGCTATATGAGCAGGCCTTCCAGCTGCTGCGCCGGTTCATACAAGCCGAGGGCCGCCGCGCCACATTGCAGCGCCTGGTGGAGGCGCTGGAGGAGAATGAGCTCACTAGTCTAGCAGAGGATCTGCTGGGCCAGGCGGAGCCGGATGACGGCCTGGCTTAAGTCTAGTACTGTGGAAAAGGGCGGTCAACCAGTTTTTGGAACCCATGGGTAGTTGTTGGGGTCTTTTTACTGCGGATGTTGCTACTGCTGGCCACTTTCCATCCACTGGACTCGGAGAGCATACAAACTCCCCTACCTAGCTGAGCGGCTGGAGTGGAACTAACTGCTCTCCCCCTCAACCCCCACCGCCCCCAGGAACCAGATAAGCACCGCAGGGGTGCATCACTGATGATCATATAAAAAGAGGACTTCCCGCAAAAACCCACTAAGTACCTGGACCTTCTGAAACCTAGATGTCATTCAAGGTGCTACAAAAAGTGTCTTGAGCGGGATGGCACGATTTTCCCTGCCCTTGCCTGGTATTCATCGTGGGACCTAAGCACTTTGCAACGAAAATAAAATGTAACCCTTTTACAGACTTGTAGAAATACCGAGGTCTAGTTCTGGTTGGTTAGTCACCTTCAGTGGAATAGTGAGTCAGGTCAAGTAGGGAGTGGAGAGAGGGGCAGGGTTCTGGGTACAGCAGGCTCAGGTGGGATCTTGAGGAAGGTGAGAGGGAGGGGTTGCTTCCTGTCCTGTTAGTGAAGGATAACGGGGGCAGGGGTGTGTGTGTGTGTGGGGTTGGTGAACCATCGTATACTTTGGGTTTGGGGTGTGTGTGTGATCTTTTCAGTATGTGCTTAAAACATCTACAGTGTGCCTGAATTAGAAAATTAAATTAAAATTTCAGCCAGGCGGCGGTGCACGCCTTTAATCCTAGCATTTTGAGGCAGAGTCAGGAGGATCTCTGTTACAGGCTGGTAGGTCTGGTCTACAGAGTGAGTTCCAAGACAGCCAAGATTTTGTTCCCTGTTTCTACTGAGGTCTTTGCCCTTGTTTCCATGGAGACGGAAGCATATAAGATTCAGACATTTTACATACCATGTAGCATTCAGGAGGTTGAGGCAGGAGGATTGTTTCAATTTGGAAGCCAGCATGAGCTACATATTGAGGCACCCCCCCCCCAAACCAAACCAAAAGCAAACAGACGATCTGGGCTTCCCCACTCTCCCTGCCCCAGGATTTCCAACTAGCTTACATTGTTACTACATTCAACCTTCAAAGTTTATTTAAGGTGGGAGGCTAGCCTAGTGAACTTAATTCTGCATTACACATACTCAAAAACGCTTGTTGTCCCATTGATCTTTGTGGTAGTGAGGATATGACCAAGGTCCTGAGGAAAGTTCTACCACTGAGCTACATTCTGCCTCTTGTTTTTTTGTTTTTGTTTGGTTGGTTGGTTTTTTGTTTGTTTTTGAGACAATCTCATTATGTAGCCCAGGCTGGCTTTGAACTCATGATTCTCCATCCAGATGCTTCTAACTCCTGAGTGCTGTGATTATAGATGTGTGCCCCAAATGTGCTAGAAAATCTTTTCTTAAAAAAAAAAAAAATCACCGGGCGGTGGTGGCACACGCCTTTAATCCCAGCACTTGGGAGGCAGAGGCAGGCAGATTTCTGAGTTCGAGGCCAGCCTGGTCTACCGAGTGAGTTCCAGGACAGCCAGGGCTACACAGAGAAACCCTGTCTCAAAAAAAAAACCAAAAAAACAAAAATCACCTTGGGACCTGGTCGTGGTGGCATATCTATAATCCCAGCACTTAATTGGCAGGTGGGTCCCTTTGAGTTTGAGGCCAGCCTGAGCTAATTAGTGAGTTCCAGGTTAGCCTGGGTTAGGGTTCTGGCTCAGGCACTCGAAACCACATGAACATGAACACACATGCACACACACACACACACACACACAATCTTCAGGGGTTGGAAAGATGGTTTTGTGGTTCTTGATCAAGGTTAGATTTCCAGGAACTACATGGCAGTTCACAACCATCTGTAACTTCATTTACAGAAAAATCTTTACACAGAAAAAATCTTTAACAAGAATGTGATTTAGGCCTTCAGTTTCCTATGGACACACAGCAATTATTAAGAATCAACTATTAAGTGTGGGTCTCTCTCACCCCTTCTCTCAGACAGAGCCTCATATGTAGCCCTGGCTGTCCTGGAACTCACTATGTAGACCAGGCTGGCTTTGAACTTGGAGATCCACTTGCCACTAAGTGCTGAGATTAAAGGCTTGCACCACCATGTCTAGCCTACGGGCTCTGTTGCTTCTCTCTCTCTCTCTCTCTCTCTCTCTCTCTCTCTCTCTCTCTCTCTGTCTCTCTCTCTCTGTGCATTGGTGTTTTGAGGCACACATGTCCATGTGAGGGTGTCACATCACGTGGAGCTGGATTACAGACTGTTGTGAACTGCCATTTGGGTGTTGGGAATTGAACCCAGGTCCTCAAGAGCAGCCAGTGCTCTTAACCACTGAGTCATCTCTCCAGCCCATGGATTCTGTTTCTTAACCTCAAGTTAAACCTTTGTCTTCCTCCTGCTCTTCTGAGACTTCACTTTTTTGTCTTTTACTGCCTTCTACAGGACACCCAAGCCTAATTTTAAAAAAAGAACAAGGAATGCATACGTAAATGCCCCTTACTGCCAAACAGTTGCTGTGGGGGAGGAAGTACAGAGCAGCTGCTCCACCTCCTGACTTCATACACCACACTTGCACGTCTGTGTGAGCATGTGTGCACACCCATCCAGGACGTTCCTCCTTCAGTGGCTGTTTAGAGATTCCAGAGCTTGGATTTTGCCCTTTCCCCCTATTCTGAGACAATGTCTCATGTAGCTCAGGTTGGCATCAAGTTTCCTGTGAAACCAAGAGTGACCCTGAACTTCTGATCCTCCTGAGTGGTGCTGGGGTTACAGGCATGTTACCACCTTCCCTAGTTTATAGAATGCTGAGGCTTAAACTCGGGGCTTCTCACATGCTAGGTCTGCACTCTACAAACTGAGTTCCATCCGCAGCCTTCCAGAGTATGGATTTTATAACAAGGCCAGTGAGACATCTTTGAAAGCATTTGGGAAGGAAGCCTGGAGGGGAGAGAGACAGAGAGGCCAAGGCAGTGACTGCAGAGATAGAAAATGGGATGAACATCAACTGTTTGGGAGGAAGAATGCAACAGGCCCGTGTCCTTGGCTGAGGACTGGGATAAGCTGATGATCAGGAGTCTGTGTCTGCCAGTGGGATGAAGGCCTGGGGGAGGCCCTGACCGCTCTATTCACTGACAATGATTTTCCTGCAGGACCTTCGGATGAACCTGGAGCCTAGCTATCTCTATAGTTCTGAATTGAGGAAGCCAATCAAGAATGGAGCTAGGAAGAGTAGTGCAGGCTTGTAATCCCAACACTTTGGAGAATGAGGTAGGCAGGTCATTAGCTTGAGGCTATGCAGGGTACACAGTATAGCCTGTCCTCAAAAACCTAAAAGACTAGTGGGCAGGTAAGAGTGGGTTCAAAGAGGTAGGAAAACCAGGGGACCATGAAAACAGGGGACAGCCTACCTTGGCTCAATGGGCCCTTCTAGAAGCCTCCCCCAAACACCAGTCCCTGACAGCTCAAACTATACCGCAGAGGCAACAGCATGGACATTACTACCCTCAAAGATGCAATGTCAGGGAGCAGGAAAGTCTAGACTGAATCTGGGCATGGAGAGACAAGAAAGAAGTGCTTGCCTGGGAAGTTACTATGAGCAGAAGTGGTTCCATTTCCTGTATCCAGTGGATGAAGGGAGCAAAGAAGGGCTGGGTGGGAGATTCCTGGGAGCAGCACTTGCTGGCTGTGTCATCCTGGGGCAAGTCACTTAACTAAGTCACTCATTAAGTATTGGTCCTCTTTGGGTGAACTGCTGGCAAGTCTGAAGAAACAGAACTTGCTGTCTTGATTGCTGTGGTGTGTATGGTTATGTTTTATTGGTGGTAAGTAGGGCAGAGTTCGGAGTAAGGAGACAGCTTCATATTATTGGGGCAATTTGTGGCTCCTGCTTGGTGAACCAGGGCTCCTGAAAGAGATTTTCTGAAATATGGCCCTGGATGGTGGCCAGAAGAGCTGAAAGTTAAAACACTCAGGCCTACGGGCTTGGGACCCATCAGCCGTATACTTCCTAAACCTTAGAAACTCGGAGTTGCGGTATCCTATCAGAAGGACTAGGCTTCCCCAGGGAGAGTCGCCCGTGAGAAGAAACCCTCTTAGGGATCAGTCCGCAGTCAGAGATGGCACTCTCTGCACCAGGGCGGAGCTGAGCTCCAGATGTCGGGGCGTACACAGCTGGAGGATCACGTGGCACGGCCACAGCCCCCTTCCTGCCAACGCTGCATTTGGCTCAAGCCCGGGTCATGGCTGCCCTTGGGACCCTGAGCTGACAGTTGGAGGGTCCTGCGTTTCGGGAGTTGTGACCCCACTCCCGCGGTCAAGCGTGAGTGCTGGGGTCCTAAGGACCAAGGTCAGCAGAGGCGGTGAGGGGGAAAGGTAGAAGAGACCCAGCCTTGATGTACTGGGTTGGGGGCGGTAGGGGAGAGGCCTGAGTCTCCCTGCCTAACCTTGGAGATCCTTCCTGGGCAGGGGCTGTTAGAAGCTGAACTTCTTGTCCCTTAGGCTGCTGCGGTGGGGCAGGGCCAGGGACGGAGGTCGACAGAGTGGATGAAGGAAGGATAGAGGACCCTGGGAAGGGCGGGGCTGGACATGAGGAGGAGGCCGCGCCTTTGCCGGGACGCGTGGCTTACGCTGCTGCTCAGCGCCGCCCTCGGACTCCTGCTCTACGCGCAGCGCGATGGGGCATCCCCCACGACCAGAGCACCATCGGCGGGAGGACGACCCCCGCGGCCCACTCCCGGTCTCCGAGCACGCGAGCTTCCCAACACCGCCCGCGCGGCCCCGCTGGCCTACGAGGGGGAGACCCCGGTGCCGCCCACACCTCCGGACCCCTTTGACTTCGGCAGGTATCTGCGCGCCAAGGACCAACGGCGCTTCCCGCTGCTCATCAACCAGCCGCGCAAATGCCGCCGCGACGGCGCGTCTGGAGGCTCGCCCGACTTGCTCATCGCGGTCAAGTCTGTGGCCGCCGACTTTGAGCGGCGGGAAGCCGTTCGCCAGACGTGGGGCGCCGAGGGTCGCGTGCAGGGGGCACTCGTGCGCCGAGTGTTTTTGTTGGGCGTGCCCAAGGGGGCCGGCTCCGGCGGGGCAGGCACGCGGACGCACTGGCGCGCCCTGCTGGAGGCTGAGAGCCGAGCTTATGCAGACATTCTGCTCTGGGCTTTTGAAGACACTTTTTTCAATCTAACGCTCAAGGAGATTCACTTTCTATCTTGGGCCTCAGCATTCTGTCCAGATGTACACTTTGTTTTTAAGGGCGATGCAGATGTGTTCGTGCATGTGAAGAACCTGCTGCAGTTTCTAGAGCCACGGGATCCGGCACAGGACCTTCTTGCTGGTGATGTGATTGTGCAGGCAAGGCCAATTCGAGCTAGAGGCAGCAAGTACTTCATCCCCCAGGCTGTGTATGGACTGCCCGTTTACCCTGCCTACGCAGGCGGTGGTGGCTTTGTTCTTTCGGGAGCCACACTCCGCCGCCTAGCTGATGCCTGCTCACAAGTTGAGCTCTTTCCCATAGACGATGTCTTTCTGGGCATGTGTTTGCAGCGTCTGCGGCTCACACCTGAGCCTCATCCCGCGTTTCGCACCTTTGGCATCTCCCAGCCTTCAGCTGCACCACATCTTCGAACCTTCGACCCCTGTTTCTACCGAGAACTGGTGGTAGTACATGGGCTGTCTGCAGCCGACATCTGGCTTATGTGGCGCTTGCTGCATGGGCCTCGGGGGCCAGTCTGTGCACATCCACAGCCTGTATCAACAGGTCCCTTCCAATGGAATTCCTAGCTATCTCTTACGGTTTCAAACGTTTCTTAGCGGCAGGAGAGAATATGAAAGCCCAAAGGGGTTTTCCATGTGGGTTTATGGTGTACATGGCTTTTCTCCGGATTACTCAATATGTAGTGCTGACCTATCGAGATACCCAGGGCTAAGGTGGTGGTCCATGACTTGACCAGCACAGAAGCTAGCACACTTAAATACTAGTAGTCAGCAGCACTACTGTGTGTGCCAGTGGGGGCTTAGCTTTCCAGGATGCTTAGGGTGAGATAAACACAAGCTTATCTACCCATGGCCAGGCCTTAGAGCCCTCTGGGACCTGGCAGGCATTTTCCTGTAGTTATTAGCTTCCTTCCCTCTCCACATTGAATTCCCAGTGGCCGTATCTTATCTGTCCCCTTTGAGGTCTGGTGTTACAGCTAGCTAACCCTTCAGGTCCAGGTTTGCCTGTAGCATGCGGGATGGGGCCATGATGTGTCATGGTCTTGCTCATTCTATACACACACACACACACACACACACAACTATGCCAATGTGCTTCTGAAGAGTGATTCATCCCCTTCCCAGAAGATTCCTCCACTATAAAATTTCCCATATTCTTCAACTACAGCTTCAAGGAAACCAACAGTTCACATTTTAGTACAAACACCCCAGTGGCAGCACAGGGCTGTCACTGAGGGCATAGGTGCTTTATTGGAACGGGGATGAGGAAGTCTCCTCTGTTCAAGAGGATGGGAACAGTCCTGGCTACCCTGACAGTGGGATGTGCAGGGTCTCTGGCCAGACGAAGGTCCAAATGGGAAGACACCTGTCAATCAGTCATGGGAGTGCCACACAGGCCTGGCTGTAGGCCCAGGAACCATACAGACAGCTGGGGCAGGTCCCCTGCACATTCATCATGAACTATACAAGATGAGGCTGTACATGAGTTAATTACAAAAGTCATTATTTACAAAAATCTGTACACACATTTGAAAAACTCACAAAATTGTCATCTATGTATCACAAGTTGCTAGACCAAAATATTAAAAATGGGATAAAATTATATGTTTCTCTTCTCAATTCTTTTCAAAAGGATTACTATTTTAAAGCACATATATGCTCCTTCCCATTAGCAAGACCCATGTAAGAAACCAAGCAGCCTAGTGTTCCTTGAGCCCCTAGGCCTTAAACCAAGTAGCAAGGCCAGGCCAGCCAGGCCAGTGCCCAGAACTAGGGCGAGGAGCTGGCCCACAGTGCATAACAGAATGCTGTAATGTAACAAAAGGAGGAAGGTGTCTTTGGCTAACACTTTGGCATTAAATAAAAGAGGCAAACAAGATGGAGACATGCAGCCCTGTCAGCCAGGTTGGACCAAGAGACACAGGTGACCTTAAAGGCTGGCTCCCAGAGCGGCAGTGGGAACCAGGCCTGGTATACACCTGGTAGAAAACGCATTTCAACCACTCAGGTATGCCACCTGGGCACGGCAAGGAGCACTCATACAGAAGAAACGGGGAAGGGCAGTGGGCCACACCAGCCACAGCCAGCTCATCAAGTAACTAAAGTGGATGTAGTGCAAATACTGCAACCAAGTACTGCCGACATGCTACCTGCTCTGCTCACCTTATGGGCCACATGGCAATGTCGGGGTAAAAGCAGGACCTTGTTCTCATCCTGGGTATATTTCCTTAGCTAGAGAAGGAGTCCCATCTTCCCTATGTGTGCAGGACAGGGGCTGACATGTCCTTTATTCCATGTTAGTTGAGAGAGCCCTCAATCAAGGCTCAAAGTTTGTGCTTCTCTTTGCAGACTGTTCTCTGCTGGCAACAGCAGGCTTAGGACAGTGTATCTGGGCCCTCTGTCCCAACGCAGAGGACTCAGCCCAAATCCTACTTTCAAACCCCTCTGAGTCCCAGGGCCTTCAACACTGCCAAGGTGCCTGAGAAAACACACAGGGTGGCACAGAGACCCACGGAGCAGGATGTGATGCACAGTTCCATGGACAGAAGGGAAACAAAGTGATGTCCTTAGGGCAGCTCTGCTGTTCTCAGGTGGGCACCAGGCCTAGGGGGGCCATACAGGGTCACTGAGGCAATGTGGTTGTTCTGCATGACCTGGTGTGAGAAGAGAACAGCAGGTCAAGAGGGAAGGACTGGGTGGGCTAGAGGGTGTACACATGGCATACTTCACACAGGCCTGGGACCTGCATTTCCTCAACCACCAAGCTCATGTCAGTGGCCTTACTTCTGCTCAAGGTTTGCCCGTTCTTCATAGGACACACGGCTTTTAGAAACCCTCATATCTAGTCTCTACAACTGCAAAAACCTGCTGAAATATGGCATCCAGATTAAAAGAAAAAAAATGGGCTCCCCAGGCTTTTCTCAAAACAGTGGGGTACCTAAGGCCACGCATTCATGTGGTACTCAAGGATCAGCACACCCAAGTTTGGCATACTTGCTCTGAGGTTCCTGCTCCCTGCTGTACTGCTTACTGATAATAAAGGTACCACTGATAGGCTCATCCTCTTGGATATACACTTCTTCAGGTTCTGTGACCCCAAATTTCCCCAACCTATTTTTTTCTTTTTTTACATTATTATTTTGTATGTGGCAAGGGTCATGCATTTCCCACAGCATACATGTAGAGGCCAAAGAACAACTTTCAGGACACTGTTCTCTCTTACCATGTGGGTACCAGGAACTGAACTCAGGTCCTTAGGCCTGGCAGTGAGTGCCTTTACCTGCCAGAGCTTCCTCTCTGGTTCCCTAATCATCATGTCTGACCTTTCAGACAGCAGAGATGAGGAAGGATTCATCTGTCCAGCACGGCTGTTATGTTAACCCACCTACAATTCTCCTCAATCACTTGCTTGGCCTTGCTACAATCACAAAGCCCTTAGCAGCTTATCTGGCCTCTAGGACTTACCTCAAAGATCATGCGCTGAAGACCGAAGCAGAATGTGGAGCCAAAAGGGTTGGTGTTATTTGGGGATGAGGACCTGAAGCCAGAGAATTCAGAATTAGAGAAACAAAGGTCAAGCAGCAGAAGGCCCAGTTCCTTCTGGGATGTGGGTTACAGGCCAGTGGGCTCTCATGACAAAGTGTGTCTGTCTCCTACATAGGCCCTCAAGGGCAAGTGGTGAGATATGGCTTCTTTAAACTCTGACTCAAAGATCAAGGAAAGATGCTATGTAGGTTAGTATTTCTTAACAGGAACTGGATTCACCTGAGAAGGGGACACCCTTGTTGAGGAATTGCCTCATCAGATTGGCATGAGCATATGTCTGTGGGGTATTTTTAGTGACTGATGTAGGAGGGCCCAACCCCTTATGTATGGTGCTACTCTTGGCCAGGGGGTGTTGAGTTGTTTAAGAGAGAAAGCTGTAGCTGGGCATGGTGGTGAGGGTCTTTAATCACATCCAGAAGGCAGGAGTGGGTGGATCTCTGAGATTTCACACCAGCCAGGCCTACATGGAAAGAGATCTTCATTACCCATTCCCAAAGAGAGCTGAGGACGCCAGGGAAAGCAAGCCAGTAAGCAGCTTTCCTCTGTGGTTCCTGCCCTGACTCCCCAACCATAGATTTTAATCAGAATGTGCAAGCCAAATAAATCCTTTTCTCCCCACAGCAACAGAGAGATCAAACTAGGACAGTTACTACAGAACTGAACGGGATGGTAGTAAGTCAGGAAAGCCCCTTTGAGTGAGAGAGCACCCCAGTTAGCACGGCAGCGAGACGTTAGGGACTATAGCAGATGGTAGAGTTGACGGGAAAGGAGAGCTGAGGACAGGGAGTCAAGCAGCTGCTTATTCTGAGTAAGGGGTGAGAGGAGCCTTAGAGATAGGACGGGGGACGGGAGATGTACCAAGGGCAACTTCTCACAGTAAACACGAAGAGCAGCTGATCTAGTCCTAATATGCATGACAGGTCAGGGAGTATATTTTAGCAACACCACCTGGAGTGGGAATTTAGCCCAGGGCTGGCACATGCTAGGCAAATATACTACAATGAGCTGTACCCCTAGTCCAAAACTTACGAAGTTTGTACATTAGTCACTGCTAGACTTCCCTGAGCAGATGCAGCAACCTCCCACTTACCTGTGCAAGACAACAGGCTTCTCCACAGGATGACCCAGAAGCTCCTGGATGCTGTCCCACTGCAAAAGGGATAGGGGAAGCAGGGGTCAACAAGGACCCAGACACAGCTGTGACTAATGCACTGCCCAGAGAACATGGCCCTAGACATGCACACCTTGTTCTTAGATGACCAGACAGGAAGATAAGAGCTTACCTTGCTGTAGGTTGTGCATATTTCGGTCTGACCACCTGCATTTTCTGGAAAGAGAAGACGGTACAGGCTGGGTTGAGCTGGCCATGGCTAACTGTAGGTCCAGCCACAGGCAGAATGCAAACTAGCCACCCTTTGTGCTACAGCTGGAGTACACAGGGAGCAAAGGGAGGCCAGTCTTTATGTGAGCTACACTAGCTGGCCATGGGCACAAAGGATGTGTAAGGCACACTGAGTGATAATCTGCAGACAGGAAACCCCTCTGTCCACTAGCCAATAGTCCCAGTCACAGGAGATGGCCTTCATAGCCTCCAGAACACAGGGCCATCCAGAGGAGCTAAGGCTCTAGGGGAAAGACAATGAGCAAGGACGTTACCAGCCCAAGCACTATGCTCTGCTGGCTTCTCCACCACGTAACACAGGCAGGCAACTGCACAGCCCTTTAACCTGAGGGGACTCTCAACTCACCTTTCTTTATGGCTAGTGGGATCTTGAACTCACAGCGGTGGTAACTAGAAAGAAGACAGACAAAGGTAAAACCTGTTTCTTGGGAGGCCTAACCACTCTGACATCTCTACTCCGCATCCCAGAAAAGGCAGAACCCCGTGTGACCTGCCCAAAGCCCTGGCATTAGATTTCTGACAATATTCAGTGTGGGAGGCCCAACTCAGACACTGAAGCCAAACAGAAAAGGACACGGCTTCCAGGTCTAAAAAGACTGCTAACTATAGCTGTAAGCTGTAAAGGTCTCTGGTTGGGCATGGTGGCTCATACTTGTAATCCCAGTTGTAGGAGGGCTGAGAGAGGAGGACTGCTTTGAGTTTGAGGTCAGCCTATGTTCCATAGCACTGACAGCCCACTCGAGGCACCGGGTTCAAGCCAGCGAGGACCACACTCAGCCACAAGTTCAGTTCCCCGTGCTCAGCGAAGGTGTACTCACATGTTAAAATTATAATGCCCAGGGTAATTGGTATGCAGGACAAACTTCTTCACTTTGTGTGTATTTGCATCAAACAGGATGTCCTGACAAAGAAAACAAATTGTTCAAGTATGAAAAGTTACCAAGGCAGGTCAGGGGCCTTCCCAAGAGAATTGCAAAGTGGAGTCTTCAATCCTGAGAACACTAGAGACTTCTTTCACTTACTCACTAGGCATCTCTGGTGGAGGGGGCCTAGCAGGAACAAGGGTTCCAGGTCCACCACTTGGCAACTTAAAACAGCCAAGGAAGGGAAATCTTTTTTTCCAACGGGACCTAGAATTTTTTTAAATACATGCAGATTTTGGCTCAAAAGCCACCAAGAAGATTCAGGACACTTCACTCTTGAAAGGCTCAGGCACCCACCTACATAAAAACTATAACCAACCAGACCCCCAGCTTCTATAAAACTTGGTAAGTAATGGAATGCCACTCAACATACCCTTTCCCAGCACTCAAACCTGATCTGACAGCACCGCTGATCATGTCCTCTTGCAACTCTAACTTCCTAGTTCTTGGTAGCTAGGCCAGGGGCCTCAGGGCTAACTCTTACTCTTTATCAATAGCCAACAGAATGCAGCCTAAGCTATCCATTCTCGCCATCTTCCTCACTGGGCCTTGAACTCTGACTGTATCAGGCCCATTCCCTCCTGCCCTCAGAATCTGTTCTCACAAAGCTTCCTACAGATTCCTGACTTGAGTTTGGCTTTTCCGTGTAGGCAGCCTCTCGATCTGCCTCTCTGTAATCCACTTTTCTGCCTTTAGACTTCATAGCATGGAAAGCTCAAAGCTCCTTTTGAA